GCCTGTGGACGGGACCGCTCCTCTCCACCGCCTCTCCCACCTGACGGAGGAATCAAGTACAAACATTAACAATGACAGTAACAGAAGGTTGTTTTTCTTAAGTCTTCATAATTATTTTTCATTCCAAGGTCATTTCTAAGACATATACTATTGTAATCCTAAAATATTCAAACTTAGTACATTTGGCAGAAATTCTAAAGTATACAACTTATAACACACTCTTCCTGTATTATTAAATTATTAGTTATTATTAAATAAAATATTCCCTGAAGTGCCCTGTAAATGTAACTACTCTAATTTTCCATACTTCATTTTCTGTCATTTCTTTCAAATGTCTGTTATGAGTCAATTACATATTTATATGTAAAAATCGAAGTCTTGTGTACCTTCGCTTCTACTTGCTGCAGCGACTGTGTGACCTCCTGCAGCTGGCTCTCGATCTCCACCGGGACCAGGGAGTCGGAGTATTTCATCTTCAGGCTCTCCATGATGCGCTGCAGCAGAGCCTTGTGGTTACATAGCTGACTGTGGACCTCCTGCAGACAGAGAGAAGGATTGTGTAAATTAATAGGATGAAGAAAATCTAATAAGAGAGGGAGAATGATTCAATCTAAAGTGCCACTAACACACTTTCAGTGCTTTGTTTAGCAGTCAGCGCTCTCGCCTGTCCTGCTTTCATCCAACAGAGACTAACCCTTCAAAGTGTTTCAAATCCACAATAGCAAAAGTGAATTATTGTCACCTCAGAGAGATTCTAATTTACAATAACAGCTTACATTAAATAAGAAAAACGCTTAAAATGTGCGAGGTAATGAAGATGAGACTACCTGGGTCTGAATATGTCCGATGCTCTGCTGAAGAGGGAGGTGCATTTTGTTATCACTATGAGAAACTGTGTGTGTGTGTGTGTGTGTGTGTGTGTGTGTGTGTGATACAAAGGATGGGAGGAAGAGAGGGTTTCGGGAGACGTTTATTTTTGCATGGGAGAGTGGGACATGGTGAGGGCAAAGTGTGTGTGTTTGGTCTTGTATGTCTATCTTTGTGAGGACCAATTTGCGTTTTTCTTTTATGAAATGGTGAAGTTAGGAGGACCGGTCTACACTGAAAGATCGATTTTAAAGGGTTAGGACTTTGTTACAATTACTTTTACACTGAGGCATAGAGATTGCATTATGTTCATGCTTTCTCTCACAAGTAAAGTTGTGTGTGTTTGTGCATGGAATGACTTGGCTACAGAGGCCACCTGAAAGATCCACTTACACTGAACAAAAGGTGTCTAGTACAAGAGGAGGGGTGAGGGTAGTGGGAGCTATGGAGGAGAGGTTTGTGAGTGTGTGTGTTGAGAGAGAGCTGGAGTGGATAGGGAGATGTTGGCCTCAGCTCAGGTTTCGAGACAAAGGGCAGAGTGATTCTGGGTCGGTGGGTTCGCAGCGGGCTGGAGGCCAAGCCAACGGTTAGATTCAGACGTTTCATATTTACTGGACACTTTCACACAGTCAACAGCCTTTTTCTCTCTGCATTTATTCATCACTAAAAGCTTAAGATCTGCATATAAGCCAGGCCTTGTGAATATATATATATATTAATGATTTTTTCCCCATCATTTTTCCCCAGTTTTTTTTATTCTATGCAAATATAGAGACCAAAACGTATGCCAAACGTGTCATTCACTTAACCTTTTGTAAGCTAGTTACCAGATGACATTTCTAAACACAACCTTTGTATTGAGACTTAGACTACCCACTGTATGAAAATATCTGCGTCATTTTCAGAGTATAGTAGGAGATTACTTGCTGAATGAGAAGAGAAATTGGTTTCATGTGTAATTTATAAAAATAGAAATAAGCTCTAAAAGTGGTTTGAGTGAGTGAGTACAAATGCATCATTATATTTTCACTTTGAAAAACTGTCCTCTCTCATTCGTCTCATTATTTACACACCATTGGCTGGAGGGAGATACACAGTTGAACTCTGGGCAGTGTAATGCCTTGTTTACATGAAGAACCTTCGTGGGATCCGGAGACACCCAGAGGTTCTTCAGAGGGTCCTGGAGGGACGCTTGATTATTGAGAAATGCTAACATCAAAATCCCAATCCAGTTTTATTTTCTAAGACTGGTGCAGTGCCTGTTCGGGGATCGCTCTCAACTCAATTTCACTCTTAATTTGCACCTTCAGCCCTGAGCAAAACACACCGCCAAGTGTGAAGCCAAATGCAATAACAGCTGTTAATAAACTCTTAGGACAGACATACATACAAATAAATAAATAACAAATAATTAAAGTGAGAAATAAATGTGTATACTATATATACTTTTTAGTTTGTGATTGCACCCCTCTTTGCATGAAACCTTCAAAAACGGTTAGCTCCCTGTCTACGCAGATGGGAAACTACTTTAAATACGGCCAATTAAATTAAATGAAATGATTAACCATGTTTGCACAAAAGCAGTAAGATCACTGAGATTAGATAATTTTTTTTTTTTTTAGATTTGAGTTGTATTGATCGTATGAATACACATAGGAAATGGAAGTTAAAGCATCTCAGAGGAGTGTCCCACCTGAAGCTCCTCTGTGCTCCTGCTCTGCTGCATCTCTGACAGAAGACCGTCTGCAGCCTCCAGCCAAACCTGGATGCCCTGCATCTCCTCCCGAAGCTTCTCTCTCTCCTCCAGCTCCGTCCTGGCTGCCTTCAGACCCTCCTTGCTCTTCTGCTTCACACTATGGAAACACACAAACACAAATGTCCAGTAATTTAAACAATTTGAAACCAACTTTATAGCCTCTTACCTTGAATCCATGATCGTGAGAGTTTGCATTGAGAATACATCAACCGTTAAATTCAAAGCACAGAGCCTCATGGCAGTTAAAGGACTGTCAGTGTAAACATATTCAAATACTGCCCAAGCTCAGAGGCCCCGCAGGTCCATGTCCGACCCACTTCCCTTTCCCCTGATAGCTTGTGGGTAATTGAGTTTTTGTTATGCCATGGACTTAAAATCACAATGAATTGGTTTATTTAAAAACGAAAAATAAGGGGAAAACTTAGCTAAAGAATCAGCATATACAGAGTGACTGTTGGGTTGTTTTAAAATACATTTAAAAGGCAGGTGACCCAGGATGATTTACAAAAATCATTCTTATCCTCCCAATTCATAGACAGAGCGATTCTTTACTTTCTTTGAGGAATAAAAACCAACAACGTAAGTAAAACAGGACTAACAAAATGTAATAAAATTCATTTTAAAAGCCAAATCAAAAAAGCTGGGTCTTGAGGTGGCCTTTAAAAGTATGAACATTAATCTGCCACTATCTTTATATAAATGTAAGGTGACCAGTGAAATGATTTTAAAACGGACATTAGATCTTTACCGAAAGTCTTTCAACCACAAAAACGTCAATAAAGTTATAAAGTGAAGCTGAAACACCGTCCTAGCCTGCTGTATCGACCCTGCAGGGCCTGCAGCTGCTGACAGAGCGGAGTGGGTGGGGCCTGCTCCAGGTCGGCTGGACCGCCCAGCAGCCTGGCAGTGCGCAGCTCCAGAGCGGACAGCGCTCGATGTTCACAGTCCGGCTGTCCTGGTACTAGGCTCCCAAGGACTGCAGTAGGTCCTGAAGGTCCTCGGTGGAGGCCTTCATCCGGTACACATCAGGATGTTCCCCCTCCACCTGCTCCAGGAGAGAGGAGGCCTTCTCCACCTGAGGAGGGCCGCACACAGACTTAATTATACTTACATAGTAATATGGCAAAAAAATAAATAGAAAGTAATGGACACTTGGATAAGACTGGAGAAGTATTCGTTCAGATTATATATTTTACACCACAAATATTCTTTCTGTAATCTGTCACTTACACTGTGTGGTGATTCGCTCCATTCTGGCGATCCTCTGTTTGCTGCGTGTCGTCAGCTCGTGTAGGCAGCGGCGTAGTCTCGATACGTGTTTCCACACAGAAGCCACAGCGGATTCCCTGCCCCCCCGACAGCTCCGCTCTGGGCACCACTCGTTCGCTCCCCCAGACGCCTCTGCAGGGACTCCACCTCCTCAGACGAACCTGCAACAGAGAGTCATTCAAAAATGTGAAAACATGATTTAATATGATAGAGATGAACACAATGGTGAATGATATGGGTCCCTGGAGGCACGGAAACTCAAATAGAATAATGCTCATACGTACTCCAAGCTTGTCTGCCTGGTCAGTGCAGTCAGCGAACAGGTGACTTATGACAGATGAACTGTGAGAGGCTGCTCTCTGCGCTCTTCACACTCTGGACGATTTCATCTTGGGCTCTTGGTGGTATTTTCTGTAATGTTCTGGCACAACTGAAGAGATCATTTGTGATCTGTTAAGGTCTAATAAGAAGAAGATAATGCTTCTTCTCAAATGCAAATAAGGCACAGAATGGCTGTGAAGTTGAGAATGCAGACTTTCATTCTGTTAGCATATTACCTGCTGAGGTACTCCTAGTCGGATGTGTCCCTTTGCCTGGAGAGTGGACATCCTCACCAGGAGCTGACTCAGGATGTTCTCCTGGAGCTGCTCCACCTTCTGGGGGGCACAGGTAGGATGCAGGCGTCTTGGTTTCTGGAGCTGCTCACATGGGTCTGGAACTGCTGCTGCAGCGAGCCAGAGCCTGCTGGGTCCTCCGGCAGCCTGTCGGAGCAGAGACCAGCAGAGCCCTGCAGGGGCAAGCAGAGACACCCTCGATGTCCCGCAGGAACTGAGCCGCCTGTGTTACAGCACAGGTGTAGCGGCTCAGGGACTTGTTGGCCTGGGTGAAATTCGCCTAAAAAATACAATAAACACAATTTTTTGTATTACTCAAACTAATCCTATATATCATTCCAGTCATTTATTTGAGATGTTTTTGACCTTTTTTTTTATTGTCCATTATAATTGGTCACAGTTTTTGTTACACACAACCACGACTTTAGTGCTTTGGATGGTGGTGGCTTGGATTCTCATTTACCAAAAAATATATATAAAAACAAGAACTTGCCATTTGATGGTCGCATTCGCTGAAGACCGATTTCTTCAAGTCCATCACATCTTGGAAATCCGCTCCCTTTCTGTTTCCTTTCTTCTGCTCGAGAAGCTCCATGCTCTCATTCTTGACTGTACAGTATTTTGAAAGACATGACTCTTTGGTATTCGTTGTTAATTACTGTTTCATTTGGCTTCCAATGAGGGGATTGTCTGGAGCTCCTGCTGGGTCTTCAAGAGGAAGGCCCTGAGTGGCCACCTTCTCTGAGTCCAGGTCCAGCTCCTTCAGCAGGTTCAACTCGATAATGCTGAGGTTGTTGGTAAGAGCGTCAATTCCAAGGTGTCAAGGCTCTCCTCGTTTTTCTTCAGTCTATGCCGCTCTGTGCTCAGCTTGTGGAGGGGTAGAATGTCAGCGGAGATCATCTCGAGTTTGGATCCCAGCCTCCTCAGACATGTACCTGATTAGAGGAAGCTGGATGAGGAGGGCCTGACAGACTTTGTACTTGTCCTCCAGCGCCGTGCCTGGTCGTCTTTGGTGGTGACTGACTTGCTCCTGAACGCTCTCCCTGAGGTCCTCCACACACTGCCTCTGGTTCAGGTACGTTTCGTGACCTTTGGCTATCATTTCCAGGGTGACCATTTTGCGGAGGAGTTCCGAAATGACCGAGTACAGTTCCTTTGACTTTTCCAGGGGAATCAAGGGTTGCAGAAGGTCAGCCTGGGACTTGTGCTCCAAAATCATGTGTTTGAAACGCTCAAAAGAGCTTGCAGGGACTCGCTTTGTGATGGGGGAAACCGGTGTCTACTCAGATTCTACTAAACATCTGCCTCAGGCTTGTTTCAATTTTGACAACGTTTTCCTTGCTGGAATCTAAATTCTGGGTGAGATCGTCAAGCTCCTTTTTTGGTGGCTTTCTCATAGCTGCTGATGGCTCTGATGTCCTCCTGGAGGTTAGTAAGCTTGTCATAAAGCTGAACAGTTCCTCGCTGATGCTGAGTTCAGGGCAATGTCTTTGCTCTTCATTAAAAGAGCTTCGCAGACAGCGGCTTGCTTCTCAGCCTCAGCCAGAGTCTCTTGGATCTGACGGACTCTGCGCTCAGTGTCAGCATGGGGCCCTTGAGCTCGCTGTCCGGACTCCTGGAGGCTTCTTTATGGAGATGAGCCAAAAACCCAGGACTCTAGATCAGCAATCTGCTCCGAAAGCTTCTCTCTGGTCTGCAGTCCCCGACTCTATCTCTCTCACACCGCCTTGGCTAGCTTCTCAGTAGTCGACTCTGATAGTTTGTGAAGGGAATCCAGAGATGAGCGCACCATCGGCACCTCCTCAGCCTGGTCCAGCTGTGGAAGGAGCTCCTCCACCTCCTCCACCAGCAGCTCCAGTTGGCCCCTGTTTGGTTATGACCTCGGACTGCATCTTCTTGTGATCTCTGAGCTGACGGTGCACATTCTCAGGGAGGAGAGCCACCCTCTTCCCTCCTGCCTTCAATGTCACTCTCTGTCTGCTTCGCCCAGGAAAGGCCATCCCTCATCACCATGAGCATTTTCTCCATGATGGGGTTGCTGCTGTTCTGGAGTTTTGAGATGAAATGAGTTTCCTCTGTTTGGCGAATTTGGTCCTTTGACTCTCTGAAGGCCCCTGCTTTATTTCTGTTGTTTCCTTCTCACATCGGTGTGCTGGGGAGTAGCACATCTGACAGCTGCTGCAGATGAAGGTGTGTTTGCTGAGCAGCTTTAACCTCTGCATTTGCCACCATCAGCTGCTTCGCCTTCTTGCAGTTCCACTGAGTAACCGTAGGAGACTTGGCTTCAAGGTCTTTGTCAATTCTCTCCAAATGTTTCTTAAGGACCTGATAGCGCAGACAGAAGGCTGCTGGTGTCTTGAAAAACGGACCTTTGTGTGATACAGGTTTCTCTCCAACAGCTCTTTCCAGGCCCCTCCACCTTCTCTTGCAGGCTCTTCATCGCACGGTCCTGTGCGGTTGCTCGCTCAGACCAGCTGAGGTGGGAGGACAACTTGGTATAGGTCAAAAAGCAACTCCCCAAGTACTGTTCTGTTCTCCTCCATGCTTCTCTGTAAGGAGAGTAGTCGCTCCGTTTCCTTTGGGATGCTCTCCTCTGGGGACCTGGAATAACAAAAGGAGTCCTTGGAATCATGGGCCTGGGCATTTACAACCTTACACACGGTTACAAATATAAGCTTGATAGGATGATTTGAGATTTAAGATACAAATTTAAATAACATGAATGTTAATTAAGAAAAAGCTTTAAAAAAACATCCAGTTTGCCCCTTTGGCTTTGTGCCACCCTGTTTTAAAATGTAATATTGTCTTATCTTGTTTTGTCAATTGGTTTTAGAATGGTTTGGTTTGTTTACTTCTAAAGTGGATGTAAGGATCCTAAAAAAATACTACATAAAACACTGGAACACTAATTTAATGACAGTTGTATCTAATGTGTACGTTTTAAACGATATATTCTCGAGCAATACAAATCTGTTTGCAAAAATAATTTCAGGTTTCTGCTAAATGATAACAATAAAGAAATGAATGGAAACCATAGCTGAAACTCCACATCCTGACAGCTTCCAGTTTCTGCTTGTCCAGTCTCTCCAGGGTGGTCTTGGCTGCTTCACACTGTGCGCAGTAATCTCTGACCAGCTGCAGTTGGGGCCTCTTTACTCTGGATGACGGCCAGCTGCAATCCTGAAACTGCGGTACTCCACTGGTCCTCCACACCACTCCAGAGCTTCTTTATTCTCAGCTTCAGATTCTCTCAACTGAGAGAGCAAGGACACTTGTGCCTGGCAGTGTCCTCTGCACTCCTGTACTCAAACAGGCAAAAGTAACCACAATTATTCAAAGCCTGTCATTTTAACGTACATTTTATGTTTATTGTACATCTGATTTCTACTAAACACAAGTATAATGCTATGAATAAGTTATTTCAAAAGTTACACATTTTAAGGTGCAATGCACAATCATGTTGAGAAATGTGCACTTGTTTTAGTATCCCACCTTTAGAACAGGCTGGGACAGATAAGCATTGGAGATGCCAAATTCAGAAGGTACTATAGTTAGTATTATTATTACAGAACATGCCGTTCAACTCCACAAGTTTAAAAAAAATGCCTCCATAAATCATTTTTATATCTCTAATGAGTCATGGACCGTGTCATTTTGATTCACACCTGAGCTTCCTCCAGCTGTTTGGCCATGGCTGCTGAGCTGAGTTCAGCTGGGTAATTCTTGCAGCTAAGGACTCTAGACACCAGCCTGCTCAGACGGTTCTCCAGATCACTGGTGGATGAAATCAGAGCCTCTGGAGCCCCTTCCAGTGGTTTACCCTTAGGAAATAGAAACACATCAGAGCTTGCAGTCTTTAAAATCCAAGTGAGGCCCAAGGAGATAAAAAAAAGTAACACACCATGAGCTAGATTCAAATAGCAATGCTGACAGTATATGTTCAACATCATTATTATTATCAACAAAATATACTGTGCACTTGAATCTCATATGTGTGGGTGCAACAATTTCTACACTTGGTTAAACCTAGTGGTAATTTAAAGTAATACTGATACCTCTGATAGTGGACTCGTAGGTCCTGTCCCTGAGAGTAACTGTACTTCCGTGAAGACTTTCCTCATGGTGGAAATAACTTGTTCTGGTTCCTCCAGAACAAGTTTCTCAGGCTTCCTAACAGTCGTTGCAAGCTTGAGCTTTGTTTACCTGAGAGGGGGAGCCTTCCACCAGAGTTACCATCCCTCCAGATAATGCCTGATGTATGAACTGCCTGCAGTGATGCAGTTTGTATCTTGTCAGCCGTGTTCACCTGATCCAATTGTGGATAGAAAACACAGAATTAATGCGAGATTTTAACAATTAATTGGCATTCCATTTTAGTCAAGCACGTTGTGAAATAATTCTAATCCTTTTGAATGATCGTTTTTCTCTGGCAGTAAACCTTACATGCTTTGACTCGCAAGACATGCATGGCTAATATTACAACCCAGAGGCAATGAAACCATTGGTAGCACAGGTGTACATTTCTCAAGCATATATTGGCTTTGCATGTAATGCTTATCAAATGTAGCTGTGTACAGTAGGCACTTGTACAGGCCTAATGTAAAGTAAATTAAACACATGTAAAGTTATTTCAGAAGCCCTAAAGGTACATTGATCAGTCATTGATGCTTCTTTGAACATTTTTAGCATAATAAAGGGTTTAGAATACCAGAGCAACACAAAAATACTTTCTCTCCACACTCTCTCTCTCTTCTACTCAACTTGTCAATTCATATGTAATATTATCTGCTATGTAGTTACTGGGCTATTTGTATTGTGAAGTGATCCTTGGGACAGTTGTTCATTGAGAGTTAACTACAAAGTTGTTAAAAACTAAATTGACAGAGACCTAATGCTACAGTATTGTCTACAGATGAGTACCTCTAATGTCTTACCTGTGTTGCATCCATTGTTCCTCACGTCAGCAGTGGTGGGAGTTTTGGCCATCGGGAGTGGAACATTTGTTTTCCTAGAGTGACCATTTTTTCCCTTTCCTCTTCCTGAGTTGTCCTCTTCTTCCCCTCCTTCTTTTCTTCCTCTAATGTCCTTTGCATACGTTGCTTGTCTCTCCGTTAGTGCGCTAGGGACTAACTTGGTTCAGACAGGGAATCTGTAAAGCTTTCTGGCACTTCTATACGGGTTCATCTTTAGAGTCTTAACAGACTTTTCCTCCAGGGCTCTGGGGGCATCCTGCACTTTGTTGATACTTCAGCATGCACTTCTTGCACTTCACAATCTTTTCCCCCCCTTTGGGTGTTTCCCTTGGTCTTCACCTCGATCATGGTCATCTTGACTGAAGCCCTTTTCTGGCCCAACATCAGCTGAAGTCTGGTCTTTGTTTTCTGGCACTTTCTCTTGCTTGGATGAGCTTATTTCTGCAAGTGTTTTTTCTGCTTTACTTGGCTTCACTGCCGCAGAAAGCAACTGATGTGAGTTGAGTGGAGTCCCTCTGGGCAACATTCTTTTGACTTTCAGTGGGGATTTGTGGAACTTGTTTCTTTTGTCTTAATGGCAGCCTTCTCTGGCTTGACATCTGGTGTACAAACTATAGGATGCTCTCTTGGACCCCAGGTTCCTGTGCATACTTCTAACCTGTCATCTTGACTGCAGTCTTTTCTGGCTGAACAACATCTGAAAGAAAGGTTCTTTGTTTTCTGGCAATTTTGTGCCCAGATGAACCAGTTGTTTGATCTTAACAATCCTTGATGACTTTTCTATCGTAACAGGCATGATTTTATGCTCCTGTTTAGTGGCCTGTGTACTCGGTTGTTGTTCTTTTTGGACACCATGTTCCTTGACCAATCCTTTGCCCACTTCTACTTTGGTCATCTGGACTGCAGTCTTTTCTGGCTGAGCATCAGCTGAAGACAGGTTTTTATTTCTGCAACTTCTTGGTTCTGGATACTTGTTTGTTCTTTATCAATCATCGTTACAGAGGGGATAACATGCCCCTTTATAGAGATCTGTGTACCTGGTTTTAAAATATGCACTTCAGTGCCTTTTTGGATGTTCTCAATTTTGACAGACCTTTGATCTATGCTCTGGGGCAAATCATGTACGTCTTTTATCAACACTTTAGCATGTATCTTTGGCTCTTTTTCTCCTGTGACTGACGTGTTTTCATCTTTCCCGAGAGTGGATGGTATATCTACTTGAAGGATGCACACTTGAGGTTCTAATTGGATTTGCTGCATCCTAGCAGGCTTTCCTTCCAGGATCTTGGGTACATCTTTGATACTCTGTGTTGACACTTTAGGATGCCCTTCTTGGACTCCATATACTTTGTTTTCTGTCGCTCTATCTTGGGCAGTTTTCAAGTCTCCTTTCTTAGTATCAGTTTGGCTTGGTTTACCTATGTCTTGTTCATATAAGCTTATTTCGATAAAGTCTGTCTCTGTCTCATGTGGTTGCAATGATTTAGATCTAGAAGTCTTGAGTTGGGCAGATTCTCTTTTAGGCACATTGTCTTGACATTCAGGACTGCCCTCCTGCACCCTTATCTTAGTAAACTTCCCCTGCAGATTCCTCTGGCTTAACACCTGCAGTGGTAAACATCTTTCTTTTCCAGCAGCCTTTCGCTCTGGATACACGTTTGAACAATATCTATCCTCGGCTCTTTCGCTCTTGTGACTGATGTGTATTCATAATTCTGCAGACTGGTCGGCATATCCAGTTGTAGGAATGCACACTTCAGGCCCCCTGGTGATCTTCTCAAATAGTAACAGATTTTTTCATCAAAGCTCTTATGTACATGTTCAATGCCATGTGGGGAAGGTGTAGATGCTCTTTTACGGACTGTTCCTTGACCTGTTGGGTTTTTCCAACATGGTTTGTTTAGTCCCAGTTTGGCTTGTTTTCACAATATCTTTCTCAGATATGCTTATCTCTACACAATTCTGTGTCCTTGCCTGATCTTGAGGCAATGCTTCAGAAGGAGAGTGTTGGGCATTGTCCCTTTGAGTCACATCGCCATAATTTCATAAAGTGATTTCTTGCACTTTTTTTAGTATTTTAGTAATATTAAATGCAGTCATCTCTGTCTTAACAACAGCAGCAGCTTTGTTTTCTGGGTCCATTTCCCTCTGGATACTTCCTTGTACTGGTGTAATTTTTGCACTTGTGACAGATGGGTTTTCATTCACCTCTGGACTTGTCTGAATATCTCGTTTTACAATGCGCACTTCAGGCTCAATGTGGATTGTCTTAGGTGTATCATCAATGTCATGTGTTGACATTTTACCTAGTTCTTTCTGGAAGTCATAAACCTTACCTTGTTCTCGTCTATCCTGAACGAGACTAAGAGTTCCACTTGGTTCTATTATGTTTTGCTTAATTGAGCTTATTCTAGAACATTCTGCCTCAGCCTTATAAGGCTGAACCCAGCCAAAAACAGCAGAGGTAGGTTGGGTGCGGCTCACTCTGAGCCGCAGTCTTTGACTGATCTTGCTTTATTTCGTATGTCTGGGTAAATCCAACCTCCGGCAGATCAAGGACCAGATATCTCTTCTGAGTCTCACTTGTGTTTTCACATAACTTGTCTATGTAGTCTGCCACATGTGGTGTATCAGTAGGCTTGGTGGAGAGAGATGGTTTTGTTTGAGGTAATGTACTTGTACTTGTTGGCGAAAGTGTACTTTTCTCAACAACAGCCATTTCAGTTGGTGCTGTAACTACTTGTTTAGTTGAAGATGACTCTGACTGTCAGATTCCCTCCTTGGTCTTGTCAGCTCCGTGGTAATAAGCCTCTGAAGAAAGTTTAAGATCCTGTGACTTTCTTTTGGTTGGGGATAGTTTACTTTTCTCAACAACAGTCGTTTCAGTTGGTTTTGTGCAACTTCTGGAGTTTGAAGAGGGCTGCTGTCTGTCAGCTCTTCCTTGGTCTTTGTCGAATCAGTAGAAGCAGTTTCTGGGGAAAGTTTGAGACCCTTTGACTTTCTTTGGTTGGTGAAAGTTTAACCTTCCTCCGAAACAGACCCTTTTCAGTCGTTGCTGTGACAACGTCTGGAGTCGAAGATGGCTTCTGATTGTCAAATGTATCCTTAGTGTTTGTCAGCTCTGTGGTAGTAAGTTCTGAAGAAAGTTTTGGATCCCTTGACCTAATTTTGTTAGTGAAAGACTACCTTTATCCACAACAGTAGTTTTTGATTGTTCCTTCGACAACATCTAGAGTTGATGACTTTTGACTGTCAAGTTCTTTCTTACTTTGTTCAGGCTCAGCAGCAGGTGACATAACATGGGTAACAACGGTTTCGGAAGCTGTGGGAAAGTCCCCACTCTTTGATTTAGTTGTGGTTGGTACAAGCTTTGTTTCTTCAATAGCAACACTTTTGTTTTTGTCATTGGAACCTAAAGTAGATCTTAGACCTTCTGATTCTATTGTTGTCTGAGGTGTGTCAGTCTCTAAAGGTTCATGAGGAGGTTTTGTACTCTTTGACATTCCCTTGGGTAGTAGAAATGTACTTTCTGGAACTTTGGATGCCTCCAAACCCCTTGATTTCCTCCTTGGTGGTATGACTTTAGTTTCTTCCTCAACAACAGTTTCAGTTTGCTCTTCAGAGCTTAATGTAGACTTCTGACTTTCGGGATCTTGCTTACTCTCCGCCACCTCCTTGGTTACATGTTCAGGGGAACACTTTGGACCCTTATATCTTCTTTTGGTTGGAAAAAGCTTCTTTTCTTTCACAACAGTAGCTTCTGTTGTTTCTTTGGCCACATGTGGAGAGTTCAGGCTGTCGGGTTCTTTCTTATCATCTTTAGATTTCCCATCAGCAGTTTTACTTGGGACATCAACTTGCTGCAAAGTTGTCGTAAGTTCAGCACTTTTTGTCAAAGCAGACCTCTGACTTCATGTTCTTCCATTATATGTATTACCTGCTTGTCAGACTTTTTCAGAGGTAGAGTTGTTGACTTTGACTTTGGGTGGTGAAACCTCACTTTTTTCCGAAACAGCATTACAGCTGCAGTGGAACTGACTCTGAACTGAAAAGCTTCCCAGTCTCTGAAACAGTGGAAACGTCAAGACTCTTTGACTTTCTCATGGTTCGTACAAACTCAGCTTCTACCACCACAGCAGCAGAATCAGTTTGCTCCTTGGATCTCTGTAAAGACATTTGACTGTCAGGCATTTCCATGGTCTGTGTTTTCTCACTGTAAGAAAATGCTGGTGAAAGTGTTTGACTCTTTGACTTTCTTTTGTTTGGCGAAAGCTTATTTTCTACCAAAACAGCAGTTTCTCTAGGCTGTTCACCTTGAGCAGTCTTTCCATTCTGAGGGATTTTCTTAGTTTCGACAAGCTTTGCAGTCGTAGAAACGTTTGAGCTCTTTGACTCTTGGCATTTTTGTACAGACTTAGGTTGCGCATTATCTGTTTCTGTGATTGGCGTTGAAGAGAGGACAGATTTTAGATTCTCTGTGTCGCCTTTGATCTGTGCAGGTTTTGAAACATTATCCTTAGAAGACATGTCTGCAGTCTTTGACTCTTTACTGGTAGGTCCAAGCCTGGCTAGCTTATCAACCATGGTCTTAGCTTGCTTTGTGACAGCCGTTGCTGAGCTAATAGTGGCATCAGTTGCTACTGTGACAGACGGGAATGGCTCTGATACATCTAGAATAATGGTTGGTTTACGCTTTGTTTCTTCAGAAGAAGCACTTCCTGTCACATTTCCGGGTGATCCTTGAGTAATAACAGTTTTCACCATTTCAGGCTCCACCTTAGGCTGGGCAGGTTCAGTATCAGTGGCCAAAGTATTGGATTTTCCTCCTGGATGGTACAGTGTAGTTTTCCTCACTAACACTAGCTGCAGACTGCCCAATGACCTTTTTGATTGGTACAGGTTGCTCCAAAGTAGGTTTAGTTTGCTTAGCTACAAAAGGCTCCGCAGTGGGATCTAGGCTTTTACCTTCTACCTTCTTCAACAGTGTCTGTTGAGGAAGTGTTGTAAGGTTGCGCTGTAAAAGGTTCTGATTGATATGTTGAACTCTGAGATTTAGTTTTTGTTGGTTCTATTCTGCTGTGTTCCACACCAATGGATTTTATGTCCATTTTGTCATTGGAACCTAAAGTAGATCTTAGACCTTCTGATTCTATTGTTGTCTGAGGTGGTGTCAGTCTCTAAAGGTTCGTGAGGAGGTTTTGTACTCTTTGACATTCCCTTGGTAGTAGAAATGTACTTTCTGGAACTTTGGATGCCTCCAAACCCCTTGATTTCCTCCTTGGTGGTATGACTTTAGTTTCTTCCTCAACAACAGTTTCAGTTTGCTTTTCAGAGCTTAATGTAGACTTCTGACTTTCGGTATCTTGCTTACTCTCCGCAACTTCCTTGGTTACATGTTCAGGGGAACACTTTGGACCCTTATATCTTCTTTTGGTTGGAAAAAGCTTCTTTCTTTCACAACAGTAGCTTCTGTTGTTTCTTTGGCCACATGTGGAGAGTTCAGGCTGTCGGGTTCTTTCTTATTATCTTTAGATTTCCCATCAGCAGTTTTATTTGGGACATCAACTTGCTGCAAAGTTGTCGTAAGTTCAGCACTTTTTGTCAAAGCAGACCTCTGACTTTCATGTTCTTCCATTATATGTATTACCTGCTTGTCAGACTTTTTCAGAGGTAGAGTTGTTGACTTTGGCTTTGGTGGTGAAACCTCACTTTTTTCCGAAACAGCAATTACAGCTGGCAGTGGAACTGACTCTGAACTGAAAAGCTTCCCAGTCTCTGAAACAGTGGAAACATCAAGACTCTTTGACTTTCTCATGGTTCGTACAAACTCAGCTTCTACCACCACAGCAGCAGAATCAGTTTGCTCCTTGGATCTCTGTAAAGACATTTGACTGTCAGGCATTTCCATGGTCTGTGTTTTCTCACTGTAAGAAAATGCTGGTGAAAGTTTTTGACTCTTTGACTTTCTTTTGTTTGGCGAAAGCTTATTTTCTACCAAAACAGCAGTTTCTCTAGGCTGTTCACCTTGAGCAGTCTTTCCATTCTGAGGTTCTTTCTTAGTTTCGACAAGCTTTGCAGTCGTAGAAACGTTTGAGCTCTTTGACCTTGGCATTTTTGTAGAGACTTAGGTTGCGCAATATCTGTTTTCTGTGATTGGCGTTGAAGAGAGGACAGATTTTAGATTCTCTGTGTCGCCTTTGATCTGTGCAGGTTTTGAAACATTATCCTTAGAATAGACATGTCTGCAGTCTTTTGACTCTTTATCTGGTAGGTCCAAGTCTGGCTAGCTTATCAACCATGGTCTTAGCTTGCTTTGTGACAGCCGTTGCCTGAGGCTAATAGTGGCATCAGTTGCTACTGTGACAGACGGGAATGGCTCTGAATACATCTAGAATAGATGCTTCAGAAGAAGCACTTCCTGTCAAAATTTCCAGGTGATCCTTGAGTAATAACAGTTTTCACCATTTCAGGCTCCACCTTAGGCTGGGCAGGTTCAGTATCAGTGGCCAAAGTCTTGGATTTTCTCCTGGATGGTACAGGTGTAGTTTTCTCACTAACACTAGCTGCAGACTGCCCAATGACCTTTTTGATTGGTACAGGTTGCTCCAAAGTAGGTTTAGTTTGCTTAGCTACAAAAGGCTCAGCAGTGGGATCTAGGCTTTACCTTCTACCTTCTTCAACAGTGTCTGTTGAGAGTGTTGTAAGGTTGCGCTGTAAAAGGTTCTGATTGATATGTTGAACTCGGAGATTTAGTTTTTGTTGGTTCTATTCTGCTGTGTTCCACACCAATGGATTTGATGTCTTCCTTGACTGCTGTCAAAGTAGGCTTCAATGTTTTAGGATCAGTTTCCAGCTCAGCAGAAACCAATAATTCATACTCAATAGATTGTTCTGTTATGGGAATGTTTCTTTGCAGTTCGACTTGTTGTTTCTTCTCAGGTGAGCGCTTGCTTTTTCGTGGTGGTGCCACTACCGGTGTCTTTGTCTCCTCTACATTACCTTGAAGGACATCAGGCAGCTTTTGTTTACACTTTCCATCAAGTTCCTTGAGTAAAAAAAGGGTACACATTTCATTAATTATTACTAAGTTACATAACCTTTTTTAATAATAAAAAATTGCAGTAGTTAATTAACTATGAATTATATATAATTCTGTTAAACATGCATAAAATACCTTTAAGCTCAGGCGAAGAGAAACCTTATGTGTGCTTGCTTCGGTGAGTCTTTCTGAACAATCCCTCTCCAGTTTCATAGCCAAGTCGGGCTTCAAACAGTCTCTTAGAAACTGATCGTGAGAAAGCGCATCCCTTAGGCTGGACTGCAACTTTTCACCTTCCTCTAATTTTGCCTAACACCAGGAGGAAAAACATATTAAAGTGCTTATAGTGATGCAAAATCAGTGTGTGTATGAAATGTTGATCATGGATTGCCAAATGAGCATAGATTAGCCACTGACAACCGTTAAATAACATGTTATTTAGTTGTACCTTATTCAAATATATATTTTTCTCTCTCAATTATTGTATATTTTCCCAACAAAAATCAACCAAAGTTTAACTGATTTGGTCAAGGGTTAAGAATGAATGAATTATTTATGTTAATGTATATTTACTAGCAATAAGACCCAGAGTGAACACTAACAGCAAAAGACTAGATGTAAAAATCAGCCCTCAAGTTTACTCAACTGTATAAATGTTTACTAAAATAACGCAATAAGCATGAAAAGACAGAAACCTGGACAGAAGAAATGGACTGTGAAGGATTGCTCTGGTTCCAGTCTTGCAAAGCATGGAGACAGTCCATCAGACAGCGTGCTTGTGTTTGTAGAGCAGGTTCCTTGACGCTCACTCATCCTGGACTTTAGACTGTAGACATAGTTAAATCACATTTATTGTTTAAACAACATTTGGCATTGCATATGCATGTATTATACTGAATTAGCTCAACATTTCCCCAGCAAAAAAATTGTGTGCATAAGAAACAACTGTAAGAACAAATTACCAACACATTTATGGAACAACAATACACAGAAATGTTCATGTGTAAATGTGAGTTCAAGGTTCAAGGTTTCAAGGTTCAAGGTTCTTTATTGTCAATCTGACATAGCTACAGAGTAATTCTGCAGTTTGAAAATCTTATGTCACAGGCTTCTCCAACAATGCAACATAATAACATAACATAATAACAATAAGAGCAAGAGCAATACAAAAATAATAATAGTTATAAAAATGAAATAAAGTTTATGATGTGGAATAGTGCGTATGAGTCTATATACAAGTTATTGGAATGATTATATATATATATTAGGTATTAGATACATACTACTGAGTAGCAGTTTGCAATGTTTGAAGTTGTTTCAACAGTTCAATTTTTTAACAGTCTCACTGCCCGCGGGAAGAAACTGTCTCCGAATCTTCTGCCGAGTTTAAGGCATTAGATAACATGCAATCAGTTTATAATAACTCTGTGTTTCCATGCCATTGACTAAGGGCAGAGTGATCCACTAAGGCATGTTTCTGGTAAGAATAATTGAAAACTAAATTGAAATAGAAAATGCCAGCTGAGAATGTGTGGAATCCGTTCAAGAAGGCTAAATCAAGTTAAAAAAGCTCCAGTGATGAAGTGTCCAGTTACTGCATGTCATGCAACTTCATCAGCTTTTTGTCACTACATATTTCTTGTTTAAACGTTGAGAGAAATACAAATGTACATTTTAAAGAAATATTTGCAAAAAAAAACTGCTGCTTGTCTTAATGTTAGTAACAATCAATCCCCAATATATAATGAGGCTGTTTTCATCTATATGTGACATCTCAAAAACAACATAAGGGCATCTGTTTTGAAAGGTGGTACCTGTCATGTTGCTGGCATAAGGACTTCACCGAAGTCATCACTTCTGATGGCAGCTCGTCAGTGGCAGACATAACCTCTATTTCCTGGTGAAGGTCATGAACTTTCACACCCAAATCTTTTAGGGATTTCTCACATTTCTAACAGAAGAAGGAAGACATCATCACATAAGTAATATTCACATTCCTGTAATAGCGTAACATAGAAATACAGCAATATTAGCATCCCTGCATGTGGAACATAGCAGCAGTTTTGATAATAAAACAGGTAGATACATTGAGATTTGTTTAAGGATAAATAAGGTAATAATAACCTAGAGGCTGTTGGACAAATGTTTTTTATCTCTTAATAAATGTATATGTTCCTATAACATCAATTTACATGAAAATAGTTAAGAATAACAACAGAAAAATGGCCTGAAAGCAATGAATGATATTCTTCATTTGTCACATTTACTAGCAAGGTTCACTTACTGTACAACATCATTTTCTACAGATTTATTCCCTGGAACTCACCCTTCTAAATAATAATAAAATGGTGGGGTGGTTACATCAAGTTTAAAGCAGTAATACCTGGAGGCTGTTCCAGTGCTGTTGGAGCTGATCGATGTTGTTCTGCGGTTCGCTGTAGCTGAGCGCCTGGTCCAGAGAGCGGAGCTCCCACTGCAGCGCTGCAGCTTTATCCTTCAGCCCCTGGGCCTTCTTGGCCACTTGACTGTCCTGCTCCTCCAGCCGAACCTCACAGGCCGCCAGGCGCTCCCTAACCTCCCGCTCCGAGGTGGCACAGAGGTCATGGAGATGGCTGACCTCCAGGGTAAGGGCATCCCGACCTCCAGGGGAGCAGAGGCTCAGCAAACTGTCTCTGGCAGAGTCCAGGTCCTTCATCTCCCTCTGCTCTCTATCCACTGTCTGGAGTAAAAGCCTGGCATCAGGAGGGAGAGAAAGATTATTAGAATGCAATTGACATTCTTGGAAAGAGCCCCTAATATTTGGATACAAATAAATGTTCCAAGATGAAACATGCCAGTCATTGCGGAAACATTTAACACACATTCCTAGTTCAAACATGAGTTATCATCAAAACATGTCTTAACCAGTAATTACAAAAAGCTTGGAAATGTTTTTGTTGTTACTGGTTAAGATTTTTTCAGTTTTCAATATTTTCAGTGACAGATTGCTGCAACTGGCTTCTCTCAAATATCTAACTAATAATGATGTGTAAATGTGTCTGACCTTTAGAGTGTTGACAGTGTTGTGTAGACCCTTTCTGTCAGCAGGAGGAGCTCCCAGGCCTTTAACGTGCTCCCTCAGCCAATCCTGAGCTGCTACATGCTGCTCCACCAGCTGGGTGCACTGCCTCTCCGTCACGATGCCCTGCTCCAGGTTTGCTACCGCTTCCTGAAAACAACAGTAGTTACATTTTTTCAGACAAAGAAACGTGGCTATTTTTACCAAGTTATTTGTTCAGCCTGTTAAATACATTTAGAGAAGCATTTTTCTTCTTCATTGAATGCATTGCAATCTTCTGGTTAATTTTGTATTCATCATAGTCAAGTTAAGTGATATATAGACAGTTTACATTTGACACTTGATCTCAATATATAGCAAATATAATCTCATTATAATCTTGACAAAAATGTAGAACTCACAGTGAGCTCTTTCAGCAGAGGAGGAATGGACTTCTCCTTGTCTGCCACTGATTGGTCTGACCAGCCAATGTCCTGTGTGATCTCAAACAGCGCTGCAGCCTTCAGGGGTCAAATGCAGTGAAGATGATTAAAACCTTTTGTTACATCTCATTTTATTAACAACTCAACCTCCCATGTGTCTCACATATTTGTAATCAAATTCATTTAGCTTTAATAAAGTTAAACAAAAGTTTTGCAGAAATAAAACCATTTAGCAAACCTATGAGTTTATTTAAGAACTGATACAACATTAATAATGTTATATATAAATGTAGTTGAACTGGCTTCCTGTGCTCGTACCTGTGTGCGGAGGTTAGAGAGGACGGGGGCCAGAGCTGTGCTCTGCTCCAGCAGGGTGCGGGCCTGTTCCACCGCCTGCCTCCGCTCTCCCAGGCCGGGCCAGGGGAAGACCCTCGGAAGGCCGGAGGTCTGCTTCTGATACTCAGACAGACGGGCCTCAGCCTGGCCTCGCTGGTACTGACAGGACCCCAGGCGCTCCACAACACCCTTCAGCTGCCTGATGGGTGATAGCAGATTAAAGAAATGTAAAATCAAACTTTAAAAAGTTGATAACCCTTTACTGTGAATCTCCTTGTTGTTGGGGCTATGAGTTGCAATGAACATTCTCCTGGATCCTTTATTTTATATAGGTTCACATTTTCATTTCGTAAATTGGATTGTTTATGTTGTAATTTTATTACGTTTTAGATCTATTCATTATGTTTTGATGAACTGTATACAACTGACTAAAAAGCCCCCTGAGACAAATGTACAGTTTGGGATATTGGCCTACTTAAATAAAATTAGATTAGTTTGAATTTGATGAAAAAGGATTCAACAGTTCAATACATAGATTTGATCAAATGTTTTCAAATCCCAGCCTTGTCATTGAAAGGAATTGAGTGTGTTGCTTAAGAACACTTTTAAGATGCCTGACGCCAAAAAGAACTGAACTTTGATAAGAAGCTTCTGTCAGCTGATATGTAACTGAGCCGGTGACATGTATTTCAAATAAAAAAACAAGTAAAGATTTTCCCTGGAGGCTGTAAACATCTTCCTGTACCTCTGTGTGTCCTCAGCAGCCTGCAGGACCGTCCTCCACTGCTGCTCAGTGTCTTGGACCATCTTCTGGACCTCCAGTTTCTTGTCTCCCTGCAGATCTTCCTGCTCACACAGACTCTCTGCTCGCCTCTTCAGCTCCATCACCTGAGCTTCTCCCTTCGACTTGGAGCTCAAAATAGCCTAAAGACACAATCATAAACAATTTGTAATAGTTATATTTAACTGCTCTAAGTCTTTAATAAAATGATAAGTTATTTGACACACTTCCCTGCAGATGAAAATAATGACTTCACAGAATAAAACAAACCTCAATATTAAAAAACTCTATTAAGCTCTATATGATATGTTGCACTGTACCTGTGCTGTGTTCAGTCTGTCCTCTATCTCAGCCCGGCTGCCCTGAGTGCCGCTGCCCTTGGAGTCGGCCTGCTGCTGCAGCTTTTTCACCCAGGCTTTGGTGCTCCCTGCTTTGCTGCGGAAAGCCTCCAGCTCCCTGGAGAGCGAGTAATGGACCTCAGCTTTCTTCAGAGTGTTCTCGGCGGTCTCCAGGACGGTCTTCCACTGCTCCTCCGAATCCTTCACTGTCTGCTGAGCCTCTTGTCTTAACGTCTCCTTCAGATCCTCCTGGTCTGACAGACTCTGGCTCCTTTTCCTCAGTTTATTCAGCTTGGAGTCTCCCTCAGGCTTACAGCTCAGGATAGTCTGAGGATAAAACATGTTTACCTTAATTATCTCTAAATGTCATCGAAAGGTTTTTTTTATACAAAAGAGATATTGTTAATACATTTACAAATCAATCTTGGTACTTTAGTTTTAGATTGAAATGATGTACTGTCAAGACCAAAACTAATTTTATTAAACACATTTTTTTTAAATATCCAGTGATGGAAAACTGAGATCCAATTTACCATCAAATATTTTGGAAAGACTTGACATTTTTAATAAAGGGATGAATTCCTACAGACATCATGACTAGCAGTAACGAAGAAATGTATTTAGTACATTAAAGGAAAACACATAAACATGTGAAGAAATGAAAACTGAAAAATGCTTAACAACAATTAGCCAATATAATTTAACAAAAACGAAAAACTCCATGCTACAATTAACACAACTTTACGTTAGCAAAGATTTGTTTTGCCAATTCTCTATGCTTCAAACTGACCTGTGCAGTGGTAATTGTTATTTCTGGATCTGTCTGAACATCCAGAGAGACGAGGCTCTTCTGCTTTTCTTCCAGCCAGGCTTTGGTGTCTTCTTTCAGAGCTTCATATTCCTTCAGCTCTCCCTCCAGAGCACACTGCTTCTCAGCCTGATCCTGGGCCTGTTTAGCGCTCTGCAGGACTCTCGCCAACTGCTCCTCAGCACCTCTTACTTTCTGCTGAACCTCTTGTTTTCTGGGTTCCTCGAGGTCCTGCCCACACAGAATCTGGCTTTGTCTCTTCAGCTCCTGGAGCATCGAGTCTCCTTTGGTCTTAGAGCTGATAATGGCCTGGGGATAGAAAACAGAAGTCATAATTATCATCTTTTGGTAAAGACTGCTATTGTGTATGTGAAGCCATAAAGATAATCTTTGATATAGACAGTATTTTAAGACTAAAACCTAAATTGAATGTGACCTCTAAAAAACTAATGAGGCTTTAACACTAGAACCGCCAGAGGTCGCTGTATACCTAAAACCGCCAACGGGTCAAATTTACCCGCTATTGATTTTCAAGGTACAATGTTATTTTATTTATCATGTAGAACAGTGAGTTTTGATCGCACAGGGATGAAACTTATACCAATAGAATCTGTGGACTCTCAGCTTTTCATATGATATAGTTTGTGCAGATAGCATGAAGTATAAAATATCGCTACCAGTGCTGATTTAAACACTTGGTGTTAGACTTGTGTTTTGTTTAGGTACAAATCTCTCTATCTATCTATAACTATCTATCTGTCTATCTCTCTATCTCTCTCTCTATTTATCTATCTGTCTATCAATCTATCTATCTCTCTCTCAATCTATAAGGAACCGCAGTAGACAAAAGGCGTTGCTATAGCAACACGTCATGTTAACGCTGCATTTTCTATGAGGTAAATATTACCCGCTGGCGGATATGGGTATAAGTGGCATTTATTTTGGCGATTTTTTCAATCTGACTTCACATTGACAATTGTTAACAACAGAGAGTGCTACATAACACACTTTCAGGAAAAGTCAAAGACTGGGAGACTTCAATATTTTATTGAAAAAAAGTTACATACAATCAAATAACAGCTGCGGGTAAAATGGACCCGTTGGCGGTTCTAGTGTTAAAGAGGTCTTATTGGCAGTTGAATTTGTGTTTCTTATATAATTAAGACATTTTTGTGGAGAGGACAATGAAGATGTGACCTTCTCCCTGTAAGGTGACCCATCAGCTCACCTGAGCAGATTGCAGTCGGTCCTTGGGTTTGGTTTGGCTCTTCAGTGAGTCCAGTTGTTGTTGGAAGTCTGTGAGCCAGCGGACAGTGTCATGCTGCTGGGTTTCAAATTCTTTCAACTGAAGAGGAGAAAAGACACACATAATGAGGTGGTTTAAAATGGGTTTATAAAAACAACAACTTTATGTCAGTCATTTTCTCCGAGCAGATTATGTATCACCTACCACGGCGTATGCAAAGCCTCACTATACGCATTTATTTTACTGCCTTACCGTTTTTGTTCTGACACTCCTGGCAGAAGTGTACAAAATATTTATTTATTAAACATGAAAAAATGCTTTTCTTTGAGAATTGTAATCTATTTTATGGACTCAAAAAATAAAGAATTTCAAGTTACACAGGAATAAGCTGAATAATTTTTAACAAATCAGTGGATGATTTTCTTAACCAGGACTTTATATGGTGACTTTCATGATAAAACAAGATGTTACGCTGTCATAGTACTCTGTGTATGTCTTTCTGGATAACTGTGTGCAGTTCTCGTACCTCCAGCGTTCTCTTCTCAGTCTTCTGTGAGATCTCGGCTCCTGCAGCAGCCTCCACCTGTTTGGCAGCCTGCAGGACGGTCTTCCACTGCTCCTCTGTGTCTCTGATCGTCTTCTGAACGTGGACTTTCCTGCCCTGGTCTGCGTCCGGATGGTCACACAGACCCTGGGCCCGCCTCCTCAGGTTGTTTACCGTACAATCGCCTTCAGGTTTGGAGCTCAAGATGTCCTACAAACAAAACAAACGTTTATTAAATGTAATAGTTGAATCAGTTAAACTGTACTTACATTTAAAAGAGGGAATGAAGGAAGGACAAGGTTTGGCTTTAGTACTTGAAAACACCATCTAGCCCCTGAGCCACAGATGGCCCCTTAATCCGTGAAAATCTATATCTTGTGAAGATAATTCCTTAATATTCATATACAGTAAATTAAGATGAAACTGACCTGCGCTGTGTGACATCTCTCATCGGGTGGAGTGTGAGCTCCCACAGACTGGAGCTTCTGCTGCCTGTCTCTGATCCAGGACTGAGTGTTTTTACTCTGAGTATCAAAATCGTCCGTCAGACTGCGGAGCTCTGCCTGCCTGGCGGCCTGCAGAACGTTCCTCCACTGCTGCTCTGAGTCTTTTACCAACTGCTGAACCTCTGCCTTCCTGCTCTCCTCCAGATGCTCACACAGAGCTTCAGCTTGTGTCTTCAGGGCGAGCAGCTTGGACTCTCCCTCAGGTTTGGAGTTTATAACAGCCTGAAGGAGAGGACAAAGGTATGGTGGGAATAAATCAGAAGTTGCCCTAAACTTCACTACAGGTTCAAACTCATCACTTGTCAACACCACTGGATATTTGTCAGTCTAACATGAGGCAGGAGAAAAGAAAATTGGGCAATTAGTGTTATTTGTGGCTAATTAAAATGTTTAAGAAAAGTCACAGAAAATATTGTGCATACAAAATAATGATAATGCAATGACAGACCTTCACCTGGATTTAGCCATGAACATACATCAATTGTATCATTTTATCCTATCTGATACTTCAAAAAAGTCCAAACAGTTTATGTAAAAATGCAATACTAATACTTAATTGTATTTGTTCACACAATATACATTTTGCAACCTGATATTTGTGGGTTAAGCCTGACTTGTAAACTCACCTGTGCGACCTGTAGCCGCTCTTCAAGCGGCATTTGACCACCGAGGGACAGCAGCTTCTGCTTCTGCTCTTTGATCCAGGACTGGATACTTTCATTTCGGGTTTTGAAAACATCGAAGTCCTTTCCAGTGGCAGCTTCAGTCTCTGCCTTCTTGAGACCCTCCTCTGCAGCCTGTAAAACTTTCCTCCACTGCTCCTCCGTTTGTCTGACTGCGTCCTGAACCTCTCGTCGTCTGCTCTCGTCCAAGCTCTGGTTCTCACACAGACTCTGGCATTGTCGCTTCAGATCCTGGAGCTTTGCATCTCCATCCGGTTTGGAGCTCAGAGTAGCCTGAAGAGAATAAAAACAACCCTTAGGAGATAGTTTTGCATCTATCCTTGCAACACAAACATTTACAAGATGTTCTATAAATGAAAACCCACCCCAATCTTACAAACTGACCCTGAACCCTTTTGAACTTACTTTTGCAATCTGGAGTTTTTCTTCAACTTGCATGCAACCACCAAGCGACTGCAGGTTCTGCTGCTGGTCTCTGATCCAGGACTGAACGTTTTCATTCTGGGTTTTGACAGCGTCCAAGTCCTTCTCTAGCAGAGCCTGTTTTTCAGCCTGGTTGAGATTCTTCTCAGCGGTCTGCAGAGCCGCCCTCCACTGCTCCTCTGTTTCTTTTACTGTCTGCTGGACTTCCTGTTTCCTGCCTTTATCCAGGTCCTCCTGCCCACACAGAGTTTCACTTTGTCTTCTCAGGTTGTTCAGTTCAGAGTCTCCCTCAGGCTTGGAGGTCAGGATGGCCTGAGGACAAAATGGGAATATTATACAACTTTTTGAAAAGCAAAATACATTTTATTGACTTGAGCATCCTCATCGAATGAATCCTAATGACGTTTTAATCTAGTCACCGACAGGTTCACATCATGATTTTTAAAAATAACGACCTAAATTCCTTCAGCATCATTTTACTTTGAGATGAATGCTTACATAATTAAGTTTAAATTATATATTATATGTTTCACCGCAATTACAGAGAAGCAGTGGTAAGCTACCCCTCCAACAAAGCTCATTACACATATTTTAAATAGAAAGACACAAATAAAAGCAGAATGAGAAAAAAAAGTTCTGAACTTATGATTATAAATTAAATAATAAAGTACAGTTATATAAATGTGTGGTAACGATGTTGCAAATGAATAAACTAAACTTAAACTGGAATGTAATATAATTATTTCCCCTTGTTTCTACTTTAAAAACGACCCTTCTCAATGTCACATGCACTGTCCTGACTCATGCACATGTGCTTGTAAAACAGTTTGCTTGTAAATGCATAATGTAATGTAGTATTTTTCTTTTTGACAAAATTGGAAAAGTAGAAGAAATAAGAATTTCCGATTTGAAGTGTAAAAGCGAGAAAAGGTTCATCAGGCTGGGTTTCACCGACCTGTGCTTTGCGCTTCAGGTCCTCTGTCTGTGAGCCAGGAGAGGTGAGGGGTTTCATGAGATCAGTGATCCAGCTCCTGGTGCTCTTCGCCTGGCTCTTAAACTCTTCCAGTTTCCCCTGCATGGCGCCCTGAGCTTCTGCCTGTTTTTGCAGCCTGGCTACCAGGTTTCTGTAGCGCTGTATCAGGTTATCACTGTCCTTCAGGAGGCTCTCAGCTCGGACGCCTTGTTTGCGTATGGATGCTAAAAGCTCAGCGAGGGTCTCAGCTCTACCACTGTCACATGGAAAAAAGTGGAAGCAAGGTTTTAACAGATGAAATATAAAAAGACAGCAGAAAGTGAGACAGAAGATAAACAAGACAGGTGGTTAGGATTTCTTCCAAAGTATTTGACTTCATATTTCAATTTCCAGTTACCTAATGAACATTTGCTGTGGTCTTTACTGTAAGATATCTGAATAAAATCAGTTCAGTTCAGAGTTCTTCTTTCTAAATTGGTGATTGAAATTGAAATTCACCTCTCATCTTGAAGGTCTTTAAGAAAAAGCTTGATTTTTTCCGACTCCACCGCATGTTTTTCTTTGTACTGCAGCCACTCACGGAAGCTGTCGTGTTGCTTCTGCAGACTAGAGGAAAAGAAGACAAAAAAAGGTTTTAAAAACATGTTTTCTTATTGGTGACATTTGTGTGCAGATGTGAGAGTCCTGATCAGAAAGGCAGAAGCAGAAATATCCGTGACTTGTTCTTCAGGGAACCAAAGAAGCATTTACCTGTTCAGGTCTCTGAGGAGCGGCTCCATTTGTTCCTGCCGGTTCTGGCAGTGCGTTCTGAACGTAGCGACCTCCTTCTGCTGCTCTTTCAGCCAATCAGTGAACTCAGAGAGCTGCTGGGGAGGAAGCTGCTGGCTGCCTCTCTCACGCTGGTCCTTCAGCTGCTCCAGACGTCTCTCTGCATCCTTGGACTTCAAGAAACTCTGATGGACATAAGAGAAACTGTGAGGAGCCATCATCTAACAGGAAATAGTTTTAAGATACACATATATTTATCCACTTACAGCAAGTCTTTGCAGGAACGTTTCCACGTCTGCTCTGCTCTCGGGGTGCTCGAAGCATTCATTGACGGACAGCTGCAAGTTCTGGAACCACTCCTCAAACAACTGCTTTTCAACTGGAGGAAAATGAACAACATGATTTAAAAATAGAATATTTGAAAGGTAAGATCAGTATCGCAAACATTTCCCAAATTGGGATCAATAAAGTGTCTGTCTGTCTGTCTGTCTGTCTGTCTGTCTGTCTGTCTGTCTGTCTGTCTGTCTGTCTGTCTGTCTGTCTCCGCAAACTCAGTCCTTACCTGTGATGACCTTGAGAAGGCCTTTGTCTCTTTCCTCTCTCTTCAGGTGGATCATGTCCCTGGTGCGGGAGATGGCCTCCTTCAGTCGGGTGCAGTCCACAGACAGCGCCTCCAGCACCTGAGGGCTGGCCACACTGGAAACCAGAGCCACCTCCGTCAGAACCACCTCCGCCTGCTCCTCCTGAGACTCCAGGTCATCACACAGATGCTGGTGAGGACAGAAGAGAAAACTGTTTTAAAAAATGCTGGCTATTCTAATAACATTAAAATATAAGAAAAGGGCCAGTGACAAAATTCCAATTTCCTTTATTTCTTCTTTCGGAAACACCCATCAATAGTATTATTTTGCTGATTCAGAAATTATTCTGCGTACATTTTGTCAACTGTTTTGAGTGCAAATGGCCTATAACAGTGATGCAATTTGACCTATTTTATCATGTATTTTATCATTTATTGTTATCTCATTATTATCCTTAAAAATAAGCAAAAAAACAGGTCGAAGGATTTACTAACAAAACTGTTAAATCAAATTAAATTCTGAAAGCTTAAAATCACAGTTTTATACTCTAGTGTATATCACATTTAAAGGGCAAATGCAATACTAAGCTCTATAAAATAAAACATTAAACCAGAGTGAGTTACAACAGATAGCAGCTGCGTACCTGTATCTGCTCTTCGGCCTTTGGTTGTGACGCGTCCACACTACTGAGAGAACACTGGATGCCCTCCACAGCTGACTGGCACTCCTCCACCTTCTCAGAGAGGTGTTTCTTCACAGCTACCAGTTCCTCAAAGACGTCGGTGCAGTCGGCAAACAGCTCATTCACCTGCTCCATCCTCTTCCTCAGCTGGGTTTCCATCACCTGAATCATTGTAAAAAGGGTTCAGACATTGTAAAAACAATGAATCTAGGGTCCATAACCATTGAATGTGGATTTAAATAAAAATAAGATTAATGAACTTTTCGACTCACCTGCAGCTCCAGTGGCGCTTCCTTACCCTGCAGCATCACCTGGATCTCTACAGACTTCTTGTGGAAGTGCTCAATGTTCTCCTCATTAGCATGGATTTCATCCTGAAACCCACCAAAAAACTTAAATAAATAAAAATCACATCTTGGGAGACATTTTAAGAACAGAGATGACTTTACACAATCTTGTTTATTACACGTGTCACACTGGTTAAAATGTTCCGACTAAATCATTAACAAAATAAAACTGTTCCTCAGGGTAGCAATAAAGCTCTTGTATTTTTCTGTTATGGGAATCTTACCTTCATGGCAAGCACTTGTTGCTCGCTTTGGAAGGGATGGCTTTCTGCAAATAGGGCCAGTTTGGCCCCAGCCCAGCTGTCCACCTCTCCCCCCAGCATCAGCTGCTTCTCCCATAGCTCCTGCCCCACCTGCAGGTTATCCATGTAGGCATCTGTCTTCTCCGTCATCTGCAAGGGCACCACAAATATAACATTTTACGTTAAGCTGGAACAGAAGTGTTCCAAATAAGAGTTATAAAATGGAATTTAGTCCTTGTTTAACTTGCTAAGCGATATTATATGTATGTTGTTATGTTAAATGGAGCCTTAAGAGTCAAGTGATAGAAATATATTTAGTTTGGTCTTAATCGTTTTCTCTCCTGTGTTTATGGGGATGTTTATCTGGATCATTAATGAAGCCGTTGTTGTAGTACTTAGTACGACCACAAGAGGCAGAAGTACACCACTACCTTATGTTGTCAATAGGGCTAAAAGCATTCATGTTTTATTTTAAGTGAGTCTTAAATTCTTTATGTATTCTAAAAAGTAAAACAAAGTTAGAAATTCTTCTTTGATCTGTCTTTTTCCCCGGGCCTTTCTTACATCCAGCCAGTTGTCCATGAGTGTGTCAGCCTCAGCTTCGAAGGGGGTCTCACTGCAGTCTGGGAAGTTTTTCAGTTGGGACTGCAGCTGTCTGCAAACACCCTTCATCTCCTCCATTCGCTCCCCAACACCACCAAGCCCCTCCTTAATGTTAGAGACCTGCACAGACAAATACATGTGGACATACATTATACATGAAAATAAAGTGACTGCCATCTTCTGGTCTGTTTCTGCACACTCTAATTCCATCCTAAAAACACAACATGAAGGGATTTAGTCAATTAACTGGTTTGGTTTTGATGACTCACCATGGTAATGCTTCTCTGCAGGTTTTCCTTGCCCAGGTAGGAGGCCTGATCACTGATGGTCTGCTCAGCTTTCTGCATGGTGCTGCTCAACTGACTGCGGCAGGCCTGGAATTTCTTCAGGAGCTCCAGCAGGATGCTGCACTGCTTCTTCCTGTCAGAGAGGGAACATAACATTTGGATGTGGATTTTAGGTGATGTCACACTTGCTGTATTGAGCTGAATGTGCTTCTCCTGCCTTAACCTACCTGTCTTTAAATGCTCTCTGAGTATCCTTCCATTGAGTGTCCAGCTCCTGAAGGAGTTCCTCTCCTCCTCCCTGTTGATCTTGAAGTTCATGGAGGTTCTGTAGCTCTGCTTGCACAGCCTGCACCTGACTCTCCAGATCCGACAGGGCCCGAAGCCTGGTAAATACCGGATTATTAACAAGAGATATTTTAGGGAGACAGGCTTTTCATTCTTTAAGTAAATGTAAAAATGCTACTTTTCTTATATTAAGAAACATCTTTTTTGTGTGTGCAGTATACAAACCATCGTTCAAAATGCAATATCCACTCAAAACACTTAAGCAACAGTTAAACAGCAAAAGCATAGAGAACACATTTGAAGCCCTGTAAAACACTAAAATAAGCTTTAGTGTTTTTGCATCAGAATAAGGATGATTGACACACACCTGTGTTGCACAGCCGGCATGGTGGGCTCCTTCAGGCCCTGTGCTTCAATGGTTTCCTGTAGTTTCCTCAGATCCCCCAGCAGTGTCCTCTTCCTCAGGCCTAGCGATCTGCTCTGTGTCTCCTTCTGCAGCCCTTTCTGCTGACTGGCAAGGCCACTGTCAGCCTCCTCCAGCCTCCTGACCAGAACGGTCACCATGTCCAGGCAGGAGGCTGGGGCACCGTCCCTGGTGACCGTTAGCCTGGCCCCCTGCAGGAGCACGTCCAGCTGAGGCGCCTTCTCTTTCAGACTGTCCACGCTCTGCCGGATCAGAGCCAGCTTGGAGCGACAGTCCTGCAGGATCACAGTGTCACTGCAGGGGGCGCCTTGGATTCCAGAGATGTCTTCGTCCACAGTACGCAGAGACATGAGGAAGCGGTCAAGGGCGCGGGCGGCGGCTTCGCTCTTCCGGACCTGCTGACGAAGCTGATCCAGGCTGCTTCTGTGAGTCTCCACCTCCCGGGACAGAGGGAAGCAGTCTCTGGGGTCCAGATCGCTGGACTCAGGGTCCAGACGGGACAGCTGGTCCAGCTCGCTCTGGATGTTGTCATCCAGTTCCTGTGAGAAAAAGAAACAACGTGCAGGTGAGATATGGTTTTATTCTGCACATAGTTGTATGCACTCCATGATCTATTTACATTTCAGTTTAACCTCTTAGTAACAAGTAACATCTCTAAAATAACAAACCTTTTGCTTTAAAGAGGGATCAGACATGAAGTAATGATCAACTGATTCTTTTTTATTGTTTTGTCTGTAAAACATCAGAGTTTTATATTTTATTGTATTCACTTTTTGCTGAGTTTACAGTCTCTTTTCTATTAGTTCAGATAGCTAGCACCGTTTTTGTATATTCCTCTAGTAAATCACGCTCTCATAGAGGACTCATTATGAACCAAATGTACTATTGCAGGCATAACTTTGTGTCACACTGACAAAGAAGGTAAAAATAGTATTCATGGCAGACAGACCTTGATGTCTTTGAGTATGTTGCTGTTGGCCGGTGTGAAGACGGTGATGTCTTTGGGCTGCCTCAGGTAGCGGTCCAGGCGGTCGGTGAAGTCCACCATGTGGTTCTCTGTGGAGTCAATCTGCCTGAGGGCGGCGCCCAGCGAGCTGCCCCTCCGCTGGAGTTTGGACTGTTGGCCGCGCCACTGATCCTGCAGCCCTGCCTTCTGCTGCTCCAGACCAGAGTTGCCGCTCAACTGGGAACACTGGGAGCACTGGTTTGCAAACTCAGACCACAGAGACTCTGTCTCCTGCCTCAAGAACTGGGAAGGAGCAGGACAACTCAAGATTACTGCCATGTTTTGGGGAATCATTTAGTTAGTAAATACACAACAAAAACAACTACAGACACTGAAACAATGGTCAATAATGAGATAATATGAAAATCTGTTTCTGCACACATTTGATCTGTACCTGTATTTCCTGGAGCCGCGTATGCAGGCCTTTTAGAGATACGGAGTCAGAGGGGACATCCTTGATGCTCTGCTCAATTTTGGCCAGCTGGGCTTGCAAAGACCTCTTACAATTCTCATATCTGGGGATTTTACAAGTTAAAAACAGGAAAACAAGTTAAACATGGAATATAATGACCTCCTGTACGTATGTTCTGTTAGCATATCAAATCATAGACTTTTCTAAAGTCAGTTTACCTTTCTAAAGCCTCCTTTTTGCTGACTTCTTCCTCTACAGATGCCTGCTTTTCCACCCCCCTCTTCTCAAGAATGACTGTCTTCATTGTCACTTGAGAGACCTGAAAAAAAGAGAAATGGCATGATTTAAGTTTAAACCTCCAAAAAGGGAATAGTTTGAATTGGAGTGAGTCATACCTCAGCTGAGACCTGAGGTTTGTCACTGGGTCTTGTATGCTCCTTCTGTGTGGTCACATCGTCACTGAAGGCAACAGGAATCCTGAGAAAACGGAAATGATAAGAAGGAGAAAAGGATAATCATTTCGATTGTGTTACCCTTTAATGTTCCATCTGAACTGCAAAGAGAGTGTCTATTCTAAAACATCCAAATATGTCTTTGGATAGTGTGCCTAAAGACATTTGAAGGACTGCATGATCCACAAATCATCTAAATCATGATCCACCTTCATCATTTCCAAACATCACGCTTAAGAGGCATTTCAAATGTATATCCAGACTTTTTACAAGACAAGTTAAAAAAATTATTAAAAGAAGGTATATTTATATTCAGATTTAGTAATTAAATATATTACTTGCTCATTGTCTGCTCTTTATCACTTAATGATATCTCACCTAGAATCAGGGAGGGATAAGTCTTGGTCTCCACTGAACTGTCTCTGGATATCAGCCAGCCTTGTCTCGCACTCCCTCAGCTGAGTCTGGGCCAGGCGGTGAGCGTCCTCGGGGCTCAGGGTGTCACACAGCTCCTTCAAGGCCTCCAGGTGCTGCCCTGCCTGGGCAAAGCTGCCCTCCGCTGAGAAACAGGCCTGGTGCATAAACAGGCATGGTAGTGAGTCGTTTTGAAACCAGATGATATTTAAGAATGTCAAGTATATCTCAAGATCAGTTTACACAGGTTAACAGACATACTGCAACACACATAGGCACCACCCAGATGACTGCAGCCCACAGATGTATTGCTAAAAAAAAAAATGCTGTTTTCATCTTTTATGTCATTTATTCAATATTATTAGTATAAAATATAACTGTTGTGTTTGTCCACATAGGTACAATGAAATCAAGATACAAAAACTGGTTTTATGGTTCTGTTAACACACTTGACAAAAACAGCACTCTCTTTTTGAGCAACCAGAATAAAGTATTGCAATTACCAAGTCCCAGTGAAAGAGTTTCCATGAAGGCATAAAAGAAGACAGAGTAAAGGTTAAGCAGAGAAATAAAACGTGCTGAAAACCCATCCATCAAAGCCAAGAGTATAGCTCTAGTTATTTAGCTACCTGCGCTTGGTTTTCTAAGGGGGAGCTTAAGTGCATCTCACACTGCAAGGCGGCTTTGTTAAACTTTTTCCTTGTTACTTCAAAACGTAATTGTTGCAAAAAGCCTGAGATCTCAGCCCTCACAGCCTGGGAATAAATAAAATGCATAAAAAGAGAAAAACATGACATGTTAGAACATAGTCTTCAATAAAAGGTTTATTATATGAATGTTTTATATGCAAGCAAATGAACAATTTGCTGACATTCATTTGTAAAACGGACATAAGCAAAACTTTTGCTACAGTTTTAGTACATTTGTCTTTGACATGCACAAGCAATTATCAGACAAACTCAAAGAAAACAACAATTCAAACTTGTAAATGTGAACATTTACAAGTCATAAAGGTCCCAGAAATCTATATCTCCAACAGTTAGTGAGTGTGTCCTACCTCCCACTGTGTTCTGATAGACTGGGTGAAAAACTCCATGTCTCCGAGCTGTGGCGGTGTACAAAAGGCCTCCATGCCCTTTGCTGCTCTCAGGAACTCTTCCAGCAACTCTGGGTCCAGGGTCTTTAGAGTCTCCTGAGGGGTAAAGCACACATATAATTGCAGACTGGTTCCTTTAAAATGATTGAACCTCATTTTGGATAAAAGAGAGTTGTTAATTTTGGCACATTATATCTGTAATATCTTCCCGTTAAAGATCAAGACAGCACCCATTTTGTATCTATTCTGCACCTACTGGGTGGGGCCAATGACCTCTTATAACATGAACACTTTGCAGATTAAAGGTCTTTCATACAGAATTGAGAGCTACTATGACGATGGGATTGCCTCGACACAGCTCTCAAAATGGCGATGGCATAGCTGGCGGCTATCAGCGAACTGTGCTAACAGTGCAAACAATGAAAACAGTGCAGACGGATCTAACAATTTGCCGTTTTGTGTAACCGGAGGTATGACGTGAAAAATTGGGAAAGAATGGCGTGATGGGACAGCATCATCAGCGATTACCGCCGTATAGTTGAGAGCCGCAGCCATTAGCTAGCTAGTTAGGCAGAATCGCATGGGAACCTATAGGGACTCACATCCACGTACATGCATGAGGATGTGGGTGTGGTTGAACCGACTTCGCACTTCTTATACTTAGCATGAATAGCGCCTCTACAGGCGGTGGTCACTTTTGCATGTTTTATTGTGCCCTAAAATGTACTAATTAAAAGTTGTACTTTGATTATTCTATTACAATATATCAATTATTGCATTTACCTCTTTCACTGATGCTTGCTCGGCCGATAAACACTTGTCTCTAAAAACGTTGATGGTTTCCAGGATGTGTTCCTGCAGACAGTGCTTTGCTTCCTCAAATCCGTTTCTGGCCAATGCCTGGGCCTTAGCGTAAGCCTCCGTGTAGGCCTGGGGAGGTGCCTGGGCCAGGGCGGGAGGTTTAATGAACAGGTCTGGTGACTCCGGCATGGACTCAGGCCGAACATTGACCTGGGAGAGGAGAATAGTTTGCGGCTGTTGAGGTCTGGGTTGCAAAGGAGACTGAGTTGCAGGTTTTGACTGTGGAAGGGGTTGGGTCAAAGGTCTGGCCTGTGGGGGTGATTGGGCCTTAGATTGTGGTCCAGTTTGGGACTTGGGTAGTGGGGGTGAATGAGCTTGAAATTGAAGCTGTGGTGGAAATTGTTCCTGGGTTTTGGGTTGTTGAAATGATTGGGCTTTAGGTTGGGTTGGTGACTGAGCTTCGGGTTGTGTTGCTGTTTGGGCCTTTGGTGATGATTCAGACTTGGGTTGTATTGTTGACTGAACCTTGGGTTGAGTTGCTGATTGAGCTTTATGTAGTGGTGCTGTTTGGGCCTGTGGTTTTGGTTGTGGTGGTGTTTCGGTCTTGATTGATGACCGATCCATGGATTGAGGTGGTAACTGGGGCACAGGAAGGGGTTTTGGCAGTGGTTCAGCCTTGGGTTTGGTTGGTGACTGAACCTTAGGTTGAGTTGGTGATTGAACATCTGGATATGGTGCTAATGGGGCCAAAGGTTTGGACTGTTGAGACGATTCACCCTTTGGTTGAGTTGGAATCTTTTGCTGTGATTGGAGCTGGGCCTGATGTCTGGGCTGTGGAGGTGGCTGCTGAGTCTGGGCCTGGGGCTTTGCTTGTACTAATGGCTGTCGCTGGATGTTTGTTTGGGACTGGGCCTGCAGCTGGGGTTTAAGCTGTGGATGAGCTTGATGTTGTGGTTGTGATATGGGAGGTGTCTGGGCTTGCATCTGAGGCTGAGGGTTAAGCTGAGTTTGATGCTGAACCTGTGAATATTGCTGAGTTTGAGGCTGGGGATAAGGCTGAGGATAAGGCACTGGATAAGGTGGAATTTGAGGCGATGCCTGAACCCAAGTCTGTTGTTGTTGCATGGCAGTCTGGGGACTCACCTGGGGTTGGGATTGAGGCCAGTGTTGTGGCTGTGTTTGCATATGAGGAGCATATGATGGCCCCATGTGAGAAAACCCAATGGACACAGCCTGAGGTCCCTGCTGTGGTCCAGGTTGGGGCCACTGCGGTAGAGCCTGAATTGTTGGATAAGCCTGAGACTGTGGAATTTGACCCATTTGTGGAGGATATGGTGGGGATATTGGATGCCTCTGCTGGGTATTGGGTTGGTTTTGAGGCTCTAGTTTGGATGTCCACTGCTGGGAAGGAGACTGAGCCTGGGGGTATGCTGGGGGGTAAGCTGGGGGGTAAGGAGGAGGTTGTGCTGTTGCCTGTGGATGCTGGACAGACATTGGGGATGAGACTCTAGCTTGGGTCCAAGCGTGGATTTGGCCCTGGGACATATGGACTTGGTGCTGGACCTCTGGCTGAGCATGTGTGGGATACGGAGGCATAGGCTGAGAACGACCCTGAGTCTGGCCTAGAGGTAGAGGTTGAGCTTGGGCTTGATGTTGAGTTGGAGAATGGACATGACTTGGCCTGGCCATTGGTTGAGGATGGACCTGAACCTGTGCTGTCGACTGAGACTGGGTCTTTGGCTGAGGATAAGTTTGAATATGGACCATGGACTGAGCATGGGCCTGAGACGGGGGCATTGCCTGAGGATAGATTTTAGGCTGGGGCATGGACTGAGGATGGATTTTAGGCTGGGGCATGGACTGAGGATGGATTTTAGGCTGGGGCATGGATTGAGGATGGATTTTCGGCTGGGGTATTGCCTGAGGCTGTGTTGGGGACTCGGGCATGGACTGGGGATGGATTTGAGGCTGGGGCATTGACTGAGGATGGATTTGAGGCTGGGGCATTGACTGAGGATGGATTTGAGGATGGGGCATTGACTGTGGATGGATTTTAGGCTGGGGTATTGCCTGAGGCTGTGTTGGGGACTCGGGCATGGACTGGGGATGGATTTGAGGCTGGGGCATTGACTGAGGATGGATTTTAGGCTGGGGCATGGACTGAGGATGGATTTTAGGCTGGGGCATGGATTGAGGATGGATTTTAGGCTGGGGTATTGCCTGAGGCTGTGTTGGGGACTCGGGCATGGACTGGGGATGGATTTGAGACTGGGGCATTGACTGAGGATGGATTTGAGGCTGGGGCATTGACTGAGGATGGATTTGAGGATGGGGCATTGACTGTGGATGGATTTGAGGCTGGGGCATTGACTGAGGATGGATTTGAGGCTGGGGCATTGACTGAGGATGGATTTGAGGCTGGGGCATTGACTGAGGATATGTTGGGGACTGAGGCATTGACTGAGGATATGTTGGGGACTGAGGCATTGACTGAGGATATGTTGGGGACTGGGGCTTTGACTGAGGATGGATTTTAGGCTGGGGCATTGACTGAGGATATGTTGGGAACTGGCCCATAGACTGGGAATGGGTTTGAGTTGGTGATGGTGTTGGTGGTTTAGGTGAGGGTGTCCTTACAGGAGCCCACGACTGTGAATGACTGCGAAGCTGAATGTGGGATGGTACAGGATGCTGAATTTGGCCTTGCAGGGGGGCTTGCATAGGGGAAGAAGGTCTGACTTGAGCTAGCGCCTGTACCTGAGCTACAGTCGGGCCATGAGCTACACCTTGTGGCTGCAGGGACATCTGAGATCCAGCTGAGACATATGTTTGGGACTGAGTCTGAACCTGTGTCAATGACTGTGTCTTTATGAGACCATGGGGCTGTAGCAGACCTTGTGTCTGTGACTGACCTTGGCTCACTTTGGTTTCAGACATGGTCCGCAGTTGTTGCTCACCGTCTGTGGTGCTGTGGGAAACACTTGTGGACTGCACTTGCAATTGGACCACTGGCTGGGATTTAGACTGAACCATAGTTTTTGTTTGTGACTGAATTTGGGCTGTTCCTTGAGGGTGAGGCTGAACCATAGCAACAGACTGGGATTTAGCCTTGGAGTCTGAATCTGGTTGAGCCTGTCCTACAATAGGCTGTGGTTGCTTTTCCTGTTGTTGTTGTTGTTGTTGTTGTTGTTGTTGTTGTTGTTGTTGTTGTTGCAGCAATAGTTCCTGTTGCCGTTGCTGTTTTTCTAGTTGTTGTGGTTGTTGTTGCTCTTGACTTTGCGTTTTTTGTTGTTGCCTCTGTTCTACATTTTGAGGGTGCTTTGGTGGTTTTTGTTGGAGTTCTTGCTGTTGTGACTGCTTAGTATCTTTTGCATTTCCTTCAGGCTGGGACCTTGCAGTTACTGTTACAGTTTGCTGTGAAACAACCTGAACGGTTCTTGCTGTTTCCTTGTCTGACTGTGGCTGAGTCTGTCTTGGTGCAGTTGTTTCCTGAGTTGAATCCGGTTCTGGCGTTGTATGCTCTCCTGAGGCTGGCTTCTGAAGCCAAGGCCGATTCTTTAAGGCCTGGGTTTTCCTGCTTTTAAGCTCCTCGTAGCTTGGAGGAGGTTTCTTTGAAGGTGCTTGTTGAAATGAAGTCTGATCGTGGGGATCTGGTGTTTGTCTGTCTATTACCACTTCCACCTGCTGCTCCACCTGTTGTTGTTTTTGCTTCGGCTGTTGTAGTTGTGCTTGTGTTTGCATCGGCTCTTGCTGTTGCACTTCTTCTTGTTGCTGTTGCTGCTGTATCGATCCATGTTCCAGAGTCTGCTGCTGCTTTTGTAAAGTTTTCTCTGTCCAGGCCTGATGCTGGACTTCTGGTGGTGACTTTGTCCTGGTCTGCATCACTGCTTCTGCGTAGCTATATGGCAATGGAGGAGAAGTCACCTTTGTTTCTCTGTATTCCTGCACCACTATCTTTGGCACAAAGGTTCCATGACTCTGAACTAACTCTTTCTCAGGCTGTTTAGTTGGCCATGACACTGATTCTGACTGTCTCAGATGTTGAGGCTTTTCTTTAGCCTGTTTAAATACTTTTGATGGAGGAGACCCTTCTGGAGGGCTTCTGCTTCTGTCTCGTCTGGCTCCCAGGCTGCTCAGCATACCTACAGCTTCCTGGAATTCAAACCACAAACACATTAGAAAAACTGCCCCTGCCTTTCTCTTTTCCTAAGTAAAGATCATACACAACTCAATGGCTTGCTCAGGTAATTTACACAAAGAAAACTGGCCTGTGACTGTGCAACAGCGGCTCGCGCTCGGTCCTGCATGGCGGAGGCATGGAGGTACTGCATGGGAGAGTTCTTCTGACTCGTCATCACCAGCATCTGCAGGTCCTGCTCCTCTGTGACCACCTGACCCTCCAGCTGCAGACCACGGGATATCAGAACCTGAGGGAAAAAATGGAGTTGAACACAATCAGCGTTTCCTCAAATTCCACATCAGGGTTTCTTTATGAGAAAAAGTCCTGGGAGCTTTGACTGGTTTGGATACAACTCATTTGAATTGATAGCATAACATTAATATACAGGGGATCATCTTACACTGGCTCGTGGGTTCTGGCCCCGCTGAGGTTGTCGCTCTGCGGCCCTCAGCAGCTGGTAGAGCTCCCGAGCCTCAGACTCCCAATGCAGGAGTTCAGCCAGGCGACTGTCCAGCCCTGACACACTGTGCTGCAGCTCTGCACACACCTGTTCTGCCTCAAACAAGGTCTGCATCACCTGGTGACATTGTAGGAACATATGGTAACAAATTGATTAACATGCTGTATACACTACAACAGGGCACCACAACCTAAAGATGACTTTATGAACAAAGATGTATGAAGGAAGTATTAAAAGGGTTGAATTCATTCATTCATACTTCAGGTATAGCAAACTTCAGTTTCTGTAACTGCTCAGCTGGGCATTCTGGGGAGGGAGCCAGAGCCTCAAGATCCACTTCTTTTATTTTCCTCGTCATGAACTGAAAGAAAGAAAGCAAACGGTTAGTTCTAGACAGAAATATGTGGAAATGTATAATTGAGTTCTTAGTGTGTAAAAATAAACCACTCTCTTCTGACAGGCTATTGCCCCCATTCTGAGATCTGTAATTTCTACTTCTGACAAAAATGCTATTTCCCATGGTAACATTATACTCTGTTATCAAAAAATGTCATTGATTTATTTGATCTCTCCAAAATTAGATCTTAAGGCATCCTTTGAAAAAAAAAAAAGGTAATTATTGAACAAAGCTCTGCTGGACTTGTTGTTTGGTAGGATGTTATTACTAACTAAATAATGTAATAAAATCAGGTTATCAGCAATATTTAAAGTGGTATAATACCTTAAGAAGTATATAGCTACGTGGTGAGCGCAATATTTTTGACATCACAGTTAATAGTTAAGACTCTACTTCATCCTGCCAAGGTGTAATTCAACCATCCATGAAACCTACCTGTATTCTTTTTCTGTAGGTGCGTAAGGGGCCTGCCATTGTCTCCAGAGGCTCCTTGAGAAGGAGAGTGGCCTCTTTGATCAGAGGTTGGATGTCCTGTGGCCTAGCATGAAGATCATCAGTGGGTTCAGCCACGCTGTCCTGGAAAAAGCAGAAGTAGCGCTATTAAATATCAGCTAGATTACAAGTCAAAAACAATAAAGCGTACAACATTTTGACTACTGTTTTAACCAAATAAGTCAATTGAAATCATGTTAAGACATTTCAATGTTTATTTATATAGCCCAATATCACAAATGTTACATTTGTCTCAGTGGACTTCACAGTTTGTACATAATATCAGTATGACAATACGACACCCTCTGTCCGTAGACCCTCACATCGTACAAGGAAAAACTTCCAAAGAAGGAAAAACCCCACAGTTTAAAGGGGGAAATGGGAGAAACCTCAGGGAGAGCAACAGAGGAGGGATCCCTCTCCCAGGACGGACAGACGTGCAATAGATGCCATGTGTAAATCGAAAAGATAATACATTTACAACATAGGTAGACCAAATATTTGGAAATGCATGTGTCTATAATAAGAAGATGAATCCACGAGGATGTCAACAATCCTGTGGGAGCCATCAGGGAAGTAGTATGATGAGAGTCAGGCAGGACCACAGTGACAGGTTCAGACAAGACTCGAAGTCCAATTACATTTAAGTTTAAAGATGTAATGTAGCACAACTATAATTTGATATAGCATTTTAATCAACACTTGCTTCCACAGTGGACATGATATAATAGTTTGATAGAATCATTTCCCTGACTTTTAACACCTGCCCAGTATACAACTTAAGCAATAAAAGAAGCCTTATGATAATACACTGTAATCACAGACTATCAAAGCCTTGCATTTATAATCGTCTACACACAAAAAGAAAAGGCGGAGTACAGCTTCAAACCTTTTAGCCACTCCTTTGTATCACAGCGTGGGAATAATTATAACAAAGGGACAAGTATGGCTTGAATACCAAAGGTGTGAGACATTAATCACAAAAGTCCTTCCAACTTGACAGCAAATAAATAGAGAAGCAACCAGGCCATTATTATAGTAGAAGAGCGCACCTTGCCATGGTAGAGAAATATGTATAGAGGGCAGTATGGTACATGCTTTATCAAAACTATTATCTGCAGTACTTACATGTAAGGGAACTACACTGATTAATAGACAACACATTTGAAATGCAAACGCACGTTTCAGTCTACCATCGTGCACAAATGCAACTCCTTCTTTGATGACAGCCTGCAGTACGATGATATCAGAAACAGCTTGGCACCACAATGTGACCAAAACAAAGGGCACAGATAAAACAGCTTTGGATTTAATGATTCTCACCAACCAGGTTTTTCTTGATCTATCACTTACGAAAGCATTTCTCTTGAAGAACTCGGCCCATTGCATGTTGAGTCTACGCAGCTCTTCTGCCAGGCTCCTGCTGGTCTGAGGGTCTGTGGACTCCAGCAGGAAGTTACCCACCTCATTCAGGTGGGCCTGTTTGGATCCCCACTCAGCCATTGAATCAGGTGTCACCTTAAAAAACATAAATGTACAAATCTTAAATGGTCAGAAGGGAGAACATCCACGATGATAAGAAAACCCAACCTTGCATAGTGAAACAATGTGGTTCCTTGGCAAAAAACAAACAATGACTGTGTGACTTTTATTTCAGAGGATTTCAGATATTATTTGCAAATGTAGAATTTTTAAATCAAATATAATATTTTAGTTTTTCTCATACATTTGTAAAAAAGAAAATGTTTTAAAGGTAACACTAATATCATAAAATATCAATGTTTTACTTGTTAATGTACGACTTAAATTCAATGTTTTTTGAGACATCACTAGCACACTTCAACAAGTTTCTACAAGCCCAGTTAAAAAAGCAGAAGCCTCTAGCTAGGTTATGAAACATGGTTCTCTTGCCAATGTTAGATGATGTATGGCTTAATGTATTCAAATTACCTCTGTTCTGGGGCCATGGCTGTGGGATGCAGAGCCCTGCTCCAGCCAGGCCTGCAGGGAGCTGAATCCGTCGCTGTAGGAGTCCCAGGCGGACAGGACCCTTCCCATGGTGCTCTTGCCTGTGGTCACCTCTTCCAAAACTATGGCGGTGTCTTCCTCCAGCTGCGTCACCTGCTGACTGATGGTGTGGTAATCTGCAGCTGAGGAGCAGAGAGGACAAGCTGTTAAATGAACTGAAGCGATCACCAGGAAAAGCTTTAAAAACATCAATAGAAAACTTACCAAGGGCAGATTTGCTTGAATATCTCTCAGAAACCTGCTTCAGTTTATGTAGAGCGGCTTCGAGCAAAGATGGTAGCTCCTGTGTGTTTACCAGATCCTGTTTAAAATAAATAAGTTCATTGCAGCATTGCTTATTACAAAGTAAAAACAACATCTTTTGATGGCAAGGGGAAAAACTGAGCAAATGCTTTTGTTATTATTAAACCTTTACTACTTGTGGTGCAAAACAATATTGGTTGTAAGTCTGTCTAGCAAGTGGCAAAGTTCATTTTGTCCAGATTTAATCTCAATTATTATTATTGTATGTGCTGATGTATGACCATATGCTTTGTTGTGACTCAAAAACTGACTTCCAGGGAAAGTTTACAAGCAATTGTAGATTAATTTGATTCAGAATATGTTATAATAATGAAGCACAAAATGAGAGGAGTATTGCGCAGTTGTTGTTATTTAGTAGGCCAGCTTGACACCCACACAGTCAGGAGGAACAATTGACTGAGATCCAACTTTTTTTGGGAGGTGCCAGGCAGAGACCCCTAATCTACCTGTATCAAAGATCTCATCATAAGGATATTATCAGAAAAAGATTATAATGTGTATAGCGCCCTCGTACAACTCCCTTCTTACCACTCCTGGTAAATAAAACTATTATCAGATAATAAATCTACTTACATGCCATTCTTGCAGCAACACCCTGACAGCCTCTGGGGAGATGTAAGGTCTCTTCCAAACCCGCAGCTTTGTCCTGATCTGCCCTAGCAGATCCAACACACTGTGGCGGTGCTCCCGGTACTCCAGCTTGATTCCATGGTATTTAGCAGTCACTCTCACACTGGTGAACCTGGGAGAAGTGACACAAGTATGGTTGTGAAAGTCAGCAAAATGAGAAACAAACAACCAACTCCCTGAAGAACCAAATTAAGTAATCATTTGTATAATCACATTTGAATGACTCTTAGAAGCATACAACAGAAGGATAGCTTGTGTTGTCCATTAACTTTTTTCTGGTTATTTTGTTGTGCTTAAACAATGCCGTTGATTGTATCCAGATCGTGGCATTAGATTTACTACTAGGTCATTTAGCTTACGGTAAATAATCAATTCAAGCACTGTCCTTACTGTATACACGATTTCACACTTATACAAACATACATGAAATCATGGGAAAGTGCCCTCACCTCCTCTTTAGTTCATCCATCTTGTCACTAGGAACCATCATGTTTGCATACTCATCCAAGTTCTGGAAGGACTGGAAGGTCTTCACTTGTTGCGGCATCTCCTCAAGACAGACCTACAGAGACATTGAGCAAAGAGCAGATTCATATTTAATTATTATACAAAATCACCATTGCTACTCTTAAAACCCCAGAACGGAGAAAAGGCTTATCAAATGTATCCCAAAAATAACTATTCCAGGAGCAAACTAATGTTACAGTTTGTATGCATTTTAGTATTCTCCCAATTAAGAAATAAAGGACATAATGCCGATATTATTTATAACTTAAATATGGAAAGCCCTGCATGAGGAACCTGAGGTTAACTAGGCAAATGTTATTGTTTTAAAAATGTCACTCCCTAAAGTTGTTTTGTTTAGGCATAGATGCAGTAAATATTCACTTTGAGGATCTCCTGTTTCTCCTTGGCTTCGTCCGCAGCTCGGCCGTGATCCTGCGGGTCGCCCTCCTCCTCGGTCAGAGCCTTCTCTGTTTTCAGCAGCCAGCGAGCCACCGTGTCCAGGGGGGCCGGGACACTCATGTCCAACTCCACTTTGTATTCACGCAGCTAAATGAGAAATGAATGGAGAAAAATATCTACATAATTACTCATCTGTATAGTTGCGATCATACAGCACATGCTACAATAGGGATTATGGCATGTTGCTGGTTAAGATTGACATTTTATGTTAATTTCTATAAACATTAGACTGTAAAAGTGCATATATATATTTATAAAAATAGGAGATTTGAGTGTATCTGACCTTTTCAGTGAGGGAGTCCCACGCCTCTCTGAGAGCCCGCTGCTCATCGCTCAGTTTCGGGGTTCGTCTCATGGCTGTCAACAACGGCATGATGGGACGTCGCTGCTCATTAAAGGACACCAGAAAGGTTTGAAAGACCTGAGAAATGGACAGGAACCGTTAGTTACACTATTTTATGGTCAACTTAGATAACAAGAACATTTCATTCAAATAAAATCACATTTCCAGACTTGAAGGAGCACCAATATGATCTTAACAGCTGAGGCATTTATGACATTTTGGAAAATATTAGCGTTTGAATGAGCCCTGGTGTGAAAAAAAGGCTGACTGCATAATTTTGTTTTGTAAAAAATTCAATATGAATATAGCTAGGTGATACATCAATTTTGCAGTGATAAGAAACAATGCTTAGTTTCTGTGTTTTAGATTTGAATAGGCATTTGTTGGAGACGTACATGGTATCTTTCTGAGTAGCTCTCTCCCTCGGTGGAGTCCCATCCCTCCAGCAGCTCATCGTAGGCCTGCACCAACCAGCATGTCACTTCCTGTATCTTTTGATCAGTCGTTGCCTGGAAACATGGACAAAAAACTGTCATTGAATGAAGACTGATGAACAAATTTGGCTAAACACAATCCTAAATATTCACAACCAAACGTAAGTCATGATCAGTGATATTTATTTTGCTTTAGATATGTATAGCTTTTTCTTTTATCTGCACATTGAGTTCTAAGTACAGAAGGAACACGATAGCTAAACATTGTCCCAGCAGGTCAAATGAATGAAATTAAATGCCCGAGAATTAGCCTTATTTTATAATCTATGACAGCCAAGAAGAAATACATTGCAACTTTATGCCCAAACATAGCTCTACACTCAAATGGTGATGAAATAACTGCAGCTTTGTTTGTTTATTTAAATCCCTTACCAGTGTTAGGAACTGTAACCAATAGAAACAGGATAAGGTAATGATAATAATAATAATAATAATTCATAATATTTATATCCCAGTGTTTAAAGACACTTTACTTTAAGAACATTTGAGAGAAAAACCAAAGGTTAAAAGACTAAATAGTGTGAGGAGAAAGATTGTGTCTAGTAAATTGCAGTAGTATTTTGTGAACAGGTTTTCATTCATCATGCAATAAAACAAATTATTTAAGCAAAAAGCGTTCCCACAAGGCACCAACCGCAGTCATGGGATACTAAACACAAACATAATGGCGGCTTGTGTGCCAAAATGTTTTGTGCTGCAAGCAAGCCTGCACACAGCAGAATACCAAGCCCGTACAAAAGTTTGATGTGGAAACAAGGTTGTTGATTTTTCCCTCATTACAACATGGAAACACATTAACTACAACAGCCACTTCATATTGTGCTGCAAATGCTTATGTTTGAGGCCATGTTGTTAGATATTTTGTAAGGCAATGTCTATGGCAGGGGTCGGCAACCTTTTTGATATGAAGTGCCATTTAAAAAAAAAAAAATTATCAGCGTGCCAACGATCGAGAATTATCAACGGGGGGGGGGGGGGGGGGGGGGGGGGGGGGGGTGTTGAGGATGTTGAGGAGCTTGACGCTCGTGATCTATCAACAGGAGGGCGGGGGGACCTCGCTGCGGGGAAGCAGTGTGTGGACCTGTCAGCGCAACTTACATGATACCGAATTTAACAAACACATTTAAATAATCGGTTTAAACGGCATAATAATAAGGACGATCGTCCGTTCTGTGATTCTCCAGAACACACATGTTATGATATTAGGGTCATGCAGAGTGAGATGAGATCGCTGTCCCTTTAAGAGAGAGAGAGAGGGGTGTGGCGTGTGCGTGTGAGTATGTTTCTGGAAGTGAAACGAGGCAGCAGAAAAACAGAGGTCTGTGATGTATTTTGTGAAACAGAAGAACAGCTAAATAAATGCAACGGCCTCTCAAGAAGAGCTCGCCTCTCTCCAGTCATTTAAGCTAAAGTGGGTTATTGAACCTGAAGCTCGTTGCTTCTGCCCTCCTCGACTACGGTCTGGGAGCCGACAGGAAAGTTCAACACACAGATGGCCAGTCCGCCCCTTTGTAGCATATTATTTCAATGAGAGATGAGCAGATCGCCACTGGGCTTTCAACTAAAGACACACACAGCCACGCAAAAACTGCGACATTTGTAAAGCTCCTTATGGGTACTGCAATTTGTGAAGTGCTTTCTTCCGTGGTGAAACGATCAGCACTGCACCACGGAGGAAAGCGGCAGAAAGTCACCTGGAGTTAAAGAGAGCGGGGCTGCGCTGCGTGCATGGCTTCCTTCTGCAGGTAACGGGGAGACGCGCTCTGGCGGCGGTCTCGTTCAGGATCCGAAAATACAATTTAAATATTTTGCACACTTATTCGACTTATTCCTAGTGGGCCACTGGCTACGGTGCCGCGTGCCAATGCTGGCACGCGTGCCAGGGGTTGCCGACCCCTGGTCTATGGCATGTATATATTGTATAAGGAAAAGTAAGAATGTGGCATAATGGTTTTTTTTCTTCAGTTTTGTGCATTATGTACAGGGCAATAGACACTTTTAGATGCATGTTGAGATGCGTTTCTCAGATGTTATTGTTCTGTTTCCCAGATTTGAATTAACCACAATGCATCTTGCATAATCAGCCCAGGATTATTCTCAAATTGCCAAATAAAAAGCTCTTGGGGCTAAAGTAACAACATACGAAGTAGATTTAAAATCTCAAATATCTAGAGCAGCTACATGCAAACATGCCGATATCTTGTCAGTAATAGGAGCCGACAGGTGGCATGTCCTCTCTGACTGATCGGTCATGAGTTCTGCAGCAGGCGACAGCAGCATATCTCAGTCGAAGGAAGGAATAGCTGCAGCCTGCGAGTGCTTTCTTCACCTCATGGGAGGCAGAGAAACACACCCTCGCTGCGGCTTTGAATTCATTCCCAGAAAACAGGGCTAACTTGTTTGATTCTGCATGATCTGTCCTGTTTTAAACCTGGCATGATTCGCAGATAATCTACGCTCTTACTGACTCACTTTTTAATTTAAATGGCTGCAGCAGTTTTGTTTCAATAAACAACTTTCCTGGTTTTGACGAGACATTATCGTCTGTAATTAAATGTAAAGTTATTTGTGGGTGATACCAGAGTTTGGTGTGGCTGATTTACGCTGTGTGGCCGGGCAGTAACGAGGCTGAAAGCAAGCCAGAGGGTTCCCGAACGCCAGCATGAATCATCCAGGTTGTTAGTATCCATGTCTGGTGATATTATTTTCTCTGTTTATCCACATTTCATTATCCCTTTATTGACTGTAAATGTACTGTTAATTACAGAAAATGTATCATCTGAAACCCCAAAAAGGCAACAGCAAATCACATCCCTTAGGAATACCCAATATATATAATATTCATTGTGATTTAGTCCATGGTTTTACTTTCAGTTGTACCTGTCGCAGAGGTGAAGCAGAAATAGCAGGAGTGTAGTGAACAGGCAGGTTGACAGGAGAAGGACTTTTAGGAAGATTTAGGTATTGCGTCTAGAAGGAAAAAGGAATAGAAGAGAGAGGAAGAAACAGTAAGAAAAGTATGCCAAGAAAATAAAGAAATCCCCCCCCAAAGAAAAGATTGTAGAAAGATAATAGCAAGTTTCAGAGATAGTAAAAAACTCAAAAATCAATCAATCGTATTAACATCAGACATGTTCATCAGTACTTAACTTATTACAGTTAAAATATGACTTTACAAATGTGATACCGTTGAGTGAAATGTACTCGGCAAGCTGTGATTGATTTCTTTGCAACTTCCAAAATCACTTGAGTCTGATTAAGGAGAAGCTGTCCTTAATTTCCCACACATTTATCTACATGTATTCCAACCAATTTACAGACACTAAATGGCAGAAAAAGGGCACTCAAGGTGACAACCAGTTCAAAGCAGACTCCTGTGTTTACGAGACTGTTTACAGCACAAGAGTTGACAGAAGCTGCGCAGAAGGGGGTGTGTGGTGCTTTGAAGACAATACTATTATTGTTGTACTGAAAAAAGACCCTACCTCGTGTTTATATCTTTAGAACCGGTCCAGAATTCAAAGGACTCCTGCTCAACAAGCTGCATTTATCCAGCTTTATACTCGTACTTTGATTTTGTCAACAGCACAACATTATCTGACTCTTGCAAACATAAAAATGAATGTACTTAAACCCTTTAAGTTATCAATTGGTCATTTGCAGGTGAAATTATATTTGTAGGTTAAACAATGGCAAAAACGAGTTGATAAATGTAAGTATGTACACACATTACATCAGTGACTACATCTCAATGTGTAGTTTGGACATGCTTCACATTGATATAGTGTAAACTAAATAATGCTGACTATTATCTAAAAAGATTTGAAGCTAGATTTGACATGATTATAATCTTGATGTCTTAACCTTTACTGATATGCATATCACCAAATCAATGCTTACAGATCAGGAGTGTATTAGAGCTTAGCTGCACCTTAATTGTTGACATTGGCCAGCAGCGAAAATATGTAACAACGCCTTTAACTCTACCTGAGCTGGTTGTCAAAATAGAAGCTATTCTGATTGTAAAACTTCTCGCAGTGTTAAATAATGCACTATGATGGTTGTCTAGAAAATAATTTAGTGTTACACACCTGCATTTCTTCCTCTGCCGCTGGCAGGTCTTTGGAGTACTGCAGGAACTGAGCCACGTAGGTCATGATGGACTTCTCATCAGGGTCTCGAACGTCCACATCTGCATCCAAATCACAATCCTCCATGATCAAACTCACTCTACTTTCAAAAAGCTTACACTAGCACATTAGCTCGTTAGCTCCTGAGGCAGGTGAAGTTTAATACTGGAATCTGAAGAATTGAGGTGCAGCTTCCGTCTATAAAACATCAGGCTGATCAAAGTCTGCTAACAAACTAACAGAGTGAAAATAAGTGGGGAGGGTTTTATAGAAGACACAAGGAAACAAACAGGAGGCGAGTCAGCAGACTGTCAGATCGACATCCCACTTGCCCTCAGGCTAGCTGGGCATGGCTCTGTCACAAAACTCATCGACACACACATTCACATGAATTACTGAAACACAGCGACAAAGCCGATGAATCATTTTGGAGAAGACTAAAAGGCGTGGAGGATGAGCTGCATGAACAAAAGACTGGAACAGAGATTTGTTTAAAATGAGTGAATAAAGCACAGTACAGAGGTTAAGTGACTGTGGTCAGTAAATCACAAAGCAAGTTATGGTTATCGGTGTTATGAAACGAATATTCCTGCATTAGCATTCACATGACAAACTGCAAAGAAAGTATTGAAAGAAAGCCTCTTGAAATGTACTGCAATTGAAAAAGTTGGGAATGGATTATGAGAGTTTTTTGTTGAGAATCTAAAAAAACATTATCAATAATAATAAAATAAGGCTCACATAGGTGGCCAAGTTTGTTCAAGTGCACATATGCTGTAAATAAAAATGTATCTCTGGAAGCATTACAAGCCAGAAGAAATACCAGTGACAGTATGAGCTAATAAATCAACGACGTTTTTGCAAAACTTCAGCCTCCAAGCGCATACATCATATTTACTTAAAGGTCCCCTATTATATTGTTTTTCATCAATATATTATAGGTCTCAGATATATACAAACATGTCTCTGAAGTGTTTGGCTCCAAACACCAAACAGATCATTGTAGCATCCCATAATCCCCTCTGTTTCAGCCCTGTTTCAAAAGTGCTGATTCTCTGTCTGTTACTTTAGATGAAAATAAGGAGCCACTCCCCACGCCCCTCTGAGAGATATTTGGTTAAGAAGAACACAGTGGTGCTCTAGGAGGAGATTCAGGTGATAAGGTGGGGGGGGGGGGGGGAGTTACCTTGGTTGGTGATTGGCTAATGATTACACAAGCCACAAAACCATGATGACATCATAAAGTGGCCAAAGTCTGATCAGCTCATTTTCAGACAGGTTTTTATATAAATGGATCAGGAGAAAAAGAGAGAGAATCTTTTTTTACTGTATAACCATTTCCATTTGTGTCCAAACAAAATAACAATTAGGCTACATCCAAAATGTGTCATCTATCATTATTGGCAGTAGTATTCGTCTTCTAATACTAAAAAAATAAGTCTTGTACAATGACCATACAGGAACTACTATCGAGAGACTTTAGTGCTTATAATATCTTAACATGTTCCCATGATGTTCCCTGAGTGCAGTAGAGCTGAATGACCCACCGTCGGGGTCCAGCAGTCGGGGGATCTTCAGCTCTTTCTCTGCGATGCGGAAGGCCTCCTCCAGGTTCTGCTTGTTGCTCCTGGTTCTGGCTTTGGACAGATCCACCAGGTCGGGCCGCAGAGCATACTGGATCGCCAGGAACACCACCCCACTCCTCCAGCTGGCTTTGAAGTCTTTCACATTTATTGAACAGCCAGCTCTGAGGGAAAAAGGTTGTCTGTCAGAGGGTCTGTTGCTGCTCGACATATTTACAAATGGTACAGAAGCAAGCCTTTTTTTACTAACTCGTGGTCTATATATTTCAGCCTCTGGTGGCCACAAAGAGCATTACCACAACAAATACTTTTTAAAATAATGCTGGAAAACCTTTTTTTAGCTTATCAAACTTTTTTTGTAGCTGTTTTACAGGTAAAACACTTTTATTGAAAAACAAAAGAGAGAAAGCAATTTAGAACAGACGTGGAAAAAGGATGTAAACAAAAAAAATGTCTGACATTTCTCTTTAGACGTTCATAGATAGGCCTTTTAAGATCAAGTACAGACAAGCTCAAACTCTAGATACTAAGATAAAAGATATGAATGCAACGCCATTTTCAAAACTATTTTATAGATTTTTTTTAAAGAAAAACATTTAGAAATGGCATTAAGTCAGCACAGCGATTTTATAATATATCATACATCTATAAATAAATGCTGGAACGTAATATCTAACATAAACGCTGTTAAAGCCAATGTAGGAAAGTATGTGAACAGATTTTGGCAGGCAGTATATGAACGCTTCAAGCCGAGATAAGAAAGCCCTGATTAGGTTTTGGTCTTTATCCCAGAGCTGGCAGTTTCAAAGGTTTGATGGTCATGACGTGTGATGATCCATCACCCCCTACAGTTAATTAGAGGTTTTTCAAGGCTGTATGAAGTCGATTCATATCTATGTTACCTTAAATACACTCTACACAGCACATATAAGGGCATATGTGTTCCTTTATAGCATTCAGTTGACTGGATGCTTACTTGTGGCACTGTTCCCGGACCCAGAGCAGCAGGGCCTTCTTGGCAGAGACCCTGAAGCGCCGGTGCAGCGGCGAGCCTCTGGGAGGAACCGGACTGCTGCTGGCCGAGCGGCTCGACAGCGTGGAGCGCGAGTCCAGACTGACCAGGGACTCCATGGACGACTGACGGGAATTGAACGAGAGGCTGCTGGCCAACTCCTCGATCTGAGAAAAGCACCAACACACAGTTTCTGTTCATTATTTTATGCATTTATGTATGGGACATTTGTAGACGTTTAAAAGGTGTAAAACAGTAACAAATACCTTTAAAATTTGACAAAAAATCAAGAAAAAAAAGAAGGGAAATCATTATCTTTTCAGAAACAAAGGAAACTTAAAATCATGAAAAATCCTATGGCTTACACATATCCCGTGTTTCAGGTGTTAAGTTTAAATGAATGTGCTTAATTGGAGCATGTTGATCAAAAGTAGAAACATTTTGTAAAACTTTCTCCAAGAAATCTGCACAAATCTAATAATGATATCCAAAATATATTTAGTTTAGAACACAGACAATAGGAGAATAACTGTTACATATTCATGCAGGCTTACATAAGGTTTTATTATTGTGAGTGGGAAAAAACTAAGCAAAGGCAAAAACTCATAAAGAAATATGAAGACAACAACAAAAAAGATACAAAATTCAACTCACATGATACTGGAGAATGATCGTCCATATGAGGCCCAGGATAATGGACGGTTTACCATCAATGATGTCAGGAATGTTTATGTTGACTAGTTTGATCTGGGAACAAAACAGAAATGTTTTGCAAACTTCCACAAAAGGGTCAATTGATACATACAAAGGAAAGAAATAATTGTAGAAATGTAGTAATCTCATTATTCCTTACAAACAATGCAAGCCACATTTAGACCCATAACTAGTATGATTTTAGTGTGTTTACCGATTTCATCTTCAGAAATAAAAGGGCCTTCTCGATGTTGCTCCTGTGCTGAAACATTCCCCGGCCTCTCTCCCGACTCTGCAAACACAACCAGAGAGTCGGTCAGTCAGTGGGTTCGTTCAAACTGTCCGACGATGCTGGAAAACATGTTTTCCAGCATCTCTCCGAGTGTTGAACGGAGATTTACTCACCATGCGCTGACCGCTCATCACCTCCAGTAGGTCCAACAGCTTGGAGCCATCTCGGAAATCGTTGAACAGATCCACGATCATGCATGGTGGCACCCGCTGTCACGAAACACACATTTTTATTTTATTCATATTATATGTTTTACTTTGGAGAAAATGTACAAAAGGAATGCTAAACCTGCACAAGAAACAAACAAACTGTGTTAGTATTAGGCAGTGGCGGCTCCAGAGTATTTTTGTTGGGTAATCTATGGTAGGGCTAACCCATACAGTGGTGGGGCTCAAGTCACCCCCCTTGACAGTGAAACGCCACGCGTGAGGTTTAGATTATTTCCCTGTCTCAATCCAAATTGAACTGTATGAAATAAAAAGGCACATTTGTCTTGTAGTAAATAAAAAGGGCGACCTGGAGCCAATCCTGCAATTTCCCCACAGGTGAAAGAGTTGACATGCTGAAAACCCAACCCCTGCAGGGGGGTCTGGGGGGATTCTCCCCCAGGAGATTTTTTGAAATACTAACATAAAATACACATTCTGGTACTCTCTTGAGAAGAAAAATAAATAAATCTATTACTACATATTTAAAAAAATGAATGCCATTTTTGTTTTTTGTTACTTTGTTCTGAAAGCTGAACCTGCTGCTCCTCAGAGAGAAAGGGGAAGAGGCTGTGTGAATTACATTGTGGATAAGGGTGGATAGCCCCCATTGTTCTGTGTGTCAAAATGAAAGACAGCCCACACACCTATCAATCATCAAACCGTGGGGTCTTATTTCACGTAATGTTGTATCTATGTATATAGAGATGTACTACCGCTAAAGTATTCTCCGTCGGGACTTCCTGCACGCCGTTATCGTGATTCTGATTGGCCAGAAGACATTATCAAAGATGTTTTATTGGGAAGAAGATCACTACGTGACAAAAGTTTTCAAAACCGTTTCTAGTCTTCGGTATTTCCAGACAAGTGGCTACTGAAATCAATTTTACTAACTGCTGTCTGTGCAATTTACTCCGCACGAGATGACGGACTTTATTTAGCTTACTTTAACATCATTTTTCATGGTGGGGCTAAGGTGGGGCTAAGCCATTTCTTGGTATGGCTGTAGCCTACCCCAGCCATACCCTGGCGCCGCCACTGGTATTAGGGCTGTCCCGAATACCATTTTTCGCGTAGTAATCAGCAGCGAATATTCGGATATTCGGCGCGGAGAAAAGGAGCGGAGATTAACGGAGAAAAGTAATATCTACATATAAAGACGGAGAAAGTCAAGGATAACGTCTATGTTTAAGTGTTAGCACCCCTGGAAGAGGCACAAGCTCTTACGTTGATATTGGAGATTTCAATAAATTCAAAAAGAAAATAAATTAAAATATCCGAATAACGAAATTGAAAACCGAAAAGTAGGCCAACGACCGAATATTCGGGTACAGCCCTAGTTAGTATTAGAGCCACTACAGGTGAAATGCACCCCAACTCCTAATCAAAAAGCGTTGTGGTGCTCGTGTTTGATTCAAATATTGAAATAAGATGATATGAATGGAGCAAAATCTGCCCAAACAAATTAGCCTTATTGGAAAAACAGTAAATTCACAAAGATCATCACTAATAGCAACACACAGATTCAGTGAAATTAGTGTGTTCAGATGAAATTCTCTGCTACAAACCCCTTTTAAAATTCTTCAGTTACCAAAAACTCTCTATCATGGCATATGAAATCCTAAATATGGTTTCTCTCTGTCATGTTTAACTTCTTTGCCTGAAGTTTTGAGGAATGCTTCTGCACCTTGTCAATCAGGACCTGTAGCTTACCGTCTGAAATACTTTTTCATTCTGACTTTGTTTTGTTTACTGTGCTCTTGGCACAGAGGCAACATTCATACTCTGCCTCATGGGTAATTGCACTCAGCTGATAAACTGTATTGGCTTGTTTGCGCTGTAACATCTTCTTCTGCGACACAATTTATCTTTCCAAAAATCTGTTGAGATAGAAATCTTTTAGTCATGCAACTTTCCATGTCCATGAGGCCTGAGCTAAAGGATGACTTGCTCCTTCCAATTAAATTCAGTTAAAACTCTTAAGCATGAGGCGGACTAGATCAAAACAAAGCTGTTTCTGAGAAGTTCAGTAAATAGGAAATCTTCTCCAGATAATGATGCTTTGTAGTTTGCATAAAACAGGCAACAAATCAATATTTAAAAAGAAAAATATGAATGATATAAAGTAATGCATGCACACCCTTTATAATAGGTGACTAAAACATCACAATAAAAACTACCTGTAGCTGGCTGAGGACTATTATATTTTTGTATATAGTTATTTTACTTTGAAACTACTTGGAAAATCTTAAGGCTCACATACAAAAATATAAACATTCTCTCCAGAATAATTTATTATTATGTTTCCTACACCACAAAATAATTTGCTTACAAACACTGCCGGATGTCAGCAACTTAAGTTTTTCCAAAGTGACATGTGACACAAGGTTATGTAACAACGTGAGCTCTTATGTGATCAACCACCAAAGGATTTACTATTATCTCAATCGTCCGTTTTTTGGCAAAGTCCCCAGTGTGCCCAACGTGAGCCCAGAGCAGGGTGGATGTCCGGCGGGAGGATTGGGTGGATGTGGGGCTGTGGCCGGTGGTGAAAGGAAGGGGTGTGTGTGGTGGCTTCTGTTGCTGTCTGTCTGTCTGCCTTGAACCTTGCTCCTCAATGCTATATTTATGAAGACAGCTCCCCACCTCCACCCCACCGCCCTCCACCAACACAAGTCAGAGAGAGAGCTGCTGCTGAATCATGTCAGGAGGTAGATTGAGGGGGGGGGGGGAATGGACTGTTTTGCCTTACATTTTCAAATCCAAGCCATTTAAGATGTCCTGTAAAAAAGCTGCAGACTGGGAAACCTTCCTACTGTTATAAAAAGTAGGATGTGGACGTGTTTTTTTATTTTGTTATTGCACATGTTGCATTAAGAGGTGTACGAATTTGTTTTCATTTCCTTTGCTCTTTGAAGCTTTTCAAAGCATTTAATATTGCCCACTGACACATTTGATTTAAGAAGTTAGCCAATATAAAATGTGTGGTGCTGTGTGGTTATTTTCCTAATATGTTAATTGAGGATATAAAATGTAGACATTTTGTAGAGATTTAGTTATCATGCAGTTATGGTGTGGTAAATAAACTGAACCAATATATTTTTGGGTTATCCCATAAATTATAATTATCCATTTTTTGTAGGAGGAGCTACAGTTTCCTGTCTTAGAGGATGTTAATATTGTTTTATCTATAAAATGTGATTGTCCTATCATTGTGATATCTTTATGACCTGATTTCCCATCAAGAATGATTACATTGCATCCTACGCCATTAACATACCGGCTTTCAGACAGGACAGATTTGAAGGACTTGGCTCACCTTTGCCAGCTGAGCGTTGACCCAGTTAGTGAAGGTCTTCTTCTGAATCTGTTCTTGTTCCACTGCGGAAGAAAAAGAAACACACAATGTCAATTTCAATTTATAGTTTCACATCCAAACTCTAAATCACTCAAGTAGTTCAGGTATTAAAGTCAATATGCAATACATTCCTAATGATCTTGAGTGAGTAGTCCTTTTTTGTGATTATTTATTATAAGCAACAGTGTTTTTGCTGTACTAAACACCTCACTGGAGAGCATTAACAAGCAGGGACAATGGACAAACTGGACACAATTATCCCCAAGAAAATGTACAGAAATAAAAAAAACACCAGAACTCAACAGCAGAGGATTTGCATTTCATGTAATGCAGTCACTGTTGGTTTCTTTTGAAGAATGACAAAAATGTGTCATTAACCTTAAAGGGGTGGTTCGGATGTTTTGAGATCAGGTTATATGAGGTACTTATCCAAGCTGGTAGTGTGCTGACCATCATTTACTCTAGGTAATACACTCAGTATGGAGTAGTAGCTCTTACAACCCCACCCAAAAAGCTCCAACTGTCCATTTACCTTAACATTGTATTTGCTTATATTTAAACAACTTCTGCCAAAGGGGCAGGGGATCAACAAAGTCATATCTGTTATTTTGAAGTATAATGACAAACTTTCAAAATTCTCATGTAATTTATGAGACACCGTCAACTTTAACCAGAACATACTTCATTCTGATTTAAAACAAAGAACAAGCTTTAGACATTGCACACACATTTCACTGTTCTACAAACTCCATGTGCATTTCCAGGTACATGTGGTGGTAAAACTCTGGAGACAAACAGAGACTAAAGCTAAACTGATCTTTCACGATTATAAAATACCAATAGCAGCACGAATCAAAGCACACTCAATGTTTGGGTTCTTAAGGGTTGAAAGCAAGTAGTATAATAGTACATGTGTTCAGTGATATAACAGAGTTTGTGCAGTCCTCACAGCAGTCAAGGAGTTTTGTAGAGCTATTGTGAAATTAGTCGGGTGTTTACAAATATAACAACCTATCCTTTTAAAGGGAGGTTATTACTGCAGCTAACACCCAAAGGTTTAGCCAATCAGTTTGGGGAACCATTGGGCAGGATCATCACAAACAGAGGTATTTGATCAGTGTTGCCTGAACAAGCAGAAAGCTTCCGTGCAATAATGAAAGCCACAGAAAATAATTCAGCACAGGCAGAGCTGCACGTAACCATCAGATACATCAAACAACCAAGCATCCCACTTTTTAATAATCTTTTTTTCTCTACAGCTTGCAACTCTTTTCTGACATACATTTACAGATCTGCAATACATTTTTAAAACCCTTAGAATACATTGAAATATAATTGTAAATGTATTGTATGCAACAAGATATTGTGTACATGTATTTGACACACATGTAGATATTTTGGTGTACAGGATTGGCCACTTTAGATCTGTGCATTTGTGTATTTGTATAAATGTAAAAGGGGCGTTTCTGACAAAAAACATTCTGCTCAGGGATGTCGAGGTTCAATTGTTTTTATTTTAGATTGAATTTGTTGATTACTCTTAAGGGAAACTGTAATATAAAGTATATCCATAAAACACCTTTCTACAGTACAGGCTACAGATAATATACAAACCAGTTTCAATAACAAGATATTTGGTAAGTAAATGCTCTACCACTCACCATTGTAAAGCTCAATGAAGTCATCCAGGTCACTGACAGTATGAAGGGTCTCACATATAATCCAGTCCTCATTTTCCATTTTCCTCAAATAATTGATTTATAATAACAACCAAAAAATAAAAAAATGTTTGAGCTTCTCAAGAATCTCTGATTGATTACAACATAGAGTATTTCCAACAAGAGGATCGATCCTTCAACACAATTCTTCTTTGACTCCAAATACAATAAGCCAGTGTAGTTTCTTTAATCAAGCTGTTCCATAAGTTGGGAAGTCGTTCAGTATAAAAATGGCTGTAAAACTTCAAGTAAAAAAAGCAACACCAGTTTCGAGGTAGAAGCTATGGACATATTTTCAATCGACACCGATGTATTCCGACTCTTGCTACCACCTATCTTTTTCTAAATTGCCCCATCGTCCCTCATCTTGAATACTGATATTAAGCAATATAGCAATAATATAGCAATATTGAGTTCCAGTCGAATGTTGATCGATTAGTTTCTCAGTTCGTTTAAAGTTAGTAATCCTATCATATCCGTGCTGCGCTCCGGCTCTCCCTCAGGCTGTCTGGTCCTATGAGATGCATCAACAGGCAGTTTACAGACTATTTTCTGATTTAATATCTTTAACAGCAGGCCCCCTCTGGCTTCGGTTCACTTGCAATCTAATCTTAAACATAGGGAGCCCCCAAGACATCTTATCATAATTAATCTGCTACAGTATCATCGGACAAAACTGAGGGAGAAGGGGAAGGTGTTGATTTTCACTGATCTTCAAAACCCACCAAAAAGATGAGCAACCTAATCATTTTCAGTCTGGCCAGTAAAGATGATGAAGAAACTGGAGAGGTGTGACACACTTGAGAGTTTGCCAAGAAGATGTATTTTAAAAACAAACCCATTTGGTCACTGTAACCGGAGTGCCCTTTAAGTCAGTTCCAGAGTAGTACAATATATGGAGCTGTACAGTATAAGCTCATGAAAGGAATCGCTAGTTTTATACCAAATGTTAATAGAAAACGCAAATAATATCGATTAAAGAGGTAGCAGAATCAAGCAGGACTGTGCTAACAGTTAACGTTACATACAGTAGCTCTACTTCTGCAGATTTCTACAAGCATTTGTTTTTTGACAATGTAGCATCAGCATCAGAGACCTTTGCATGGGCCCCAAATTAGCCTTAGGCCAGGATTATCTGTACTACTTAACCCCCAACCCCCCCCCCCCCCCCCCCCCCCCCCCCCCCCCCCTCCTTACAGTGTGGTGGGCTAATGCCTTCAGGTTAAGAGCTCTATAGCGCTTTCTGGTCCGAGACACTATTGGGGCAACTGAGCCGGTAAAGATGATAACTTGGCCATCTCATCGTTCATTTCTGTGTAGCAGTCAACAGAAACTAATAGCATGTTCGCTAACCGTATGTTTTGTTGGTAGTCAAGAGAGGACATGCTTTTTAGCTAGAATAGTGTCAGGCTGTTCAGTTAACTGTGGCAGTTTTGTTGACACAATGATTTTCATGTAACTTTGTGGAAGTGTGAAGCATGGTCCAAGGAAGAACCCATTACATTTTTGAACGCATCCACCTATTGGGTGAATATGCAAATAATGTTTCACTTTTGATGAATTGGCTGTCCCTGTAAAGCAGACATGAACAAACATGAACTTTCCTTAATGTCAAAAGTAAAGACTCTGGACAGGAGCCAAGCTCGAGCTTTTTGTTTCCACTGACTTTGACTGTTACTTGTGTTTCAACACTGGCTTGTGTTTTAAAATATTCCCACAAATCGACATGCCTGTGAAGTCCCTACACTGATATTGGTGGCTTAAGAAGTGAATACATGCATGAGTTGGTAGGACACATATTTTCTTCTTATCAGGCACAAACCTGCCCTGGCCCTAAGAACAAACTTTATTTCAAAAGGAAAAAGAAGTCTGTATTTGACTTCTGATTGATTTGCTGATAAAAAACACTGATACGTTAAAGTGACACATCATGGTTCAGAGCAGAACTTATTTTCAGCTTATGATGATCTGAAATCATTTAGTTCTTGATATATATCTTAGAATCAAATACTTTTATTTGTAGCTGTATATCTCTACTGTTATAATGCACCACCTGGGGGGTAAACATTCTCACAAGGTGATATAATAGTGTGCATTGTAGTATTTTTAAAGATCTACACAGTTAGTTCCGTATCAAAAAGTCAGACGCATAGAGACAAGTATAAACAACTCACCCATGATGGGATCACTCTTGCTGATGCAGCAGGGAGAGCTTCACAGTCAGCAAACTGTGGTGCATGTGCATTTAAAGCAAACTTCTTTATCTAATCAACACATGGTTTACCACACTGAGTCTAAAGGCTGCAGATCCATGACTTCAGGTGATGTAAAGAAATATATGAAATAAGTTTGAGAGTAAATCCTGTCTAACAGCCAACAGTCTACATTTCTAGCCTGCAGGTAAGCAGGTGGGATCAGCTGGGCTCCTCCTCTTTTAAATCTGATGCACAGAGGAGTCAGGCCTGCTGAAACATGACCTGCATCAAGCTAGATCTCCTGCAGCCTTCTGGGTAATTGATGCTACATTGACTGGAAAATGTGGGTCAAATTTAAATGTCATATGCTGTGAAAACGTACCTTACCCAACCCTTCTACATTAGTGTTAGTTAAAATCACTATATATCTAAATAGTAAATCAAATCAGTAACAAATACAAGACAAGTCATTTTTTTGTGTGTTTATCATGGATGTTGACCTTTACTTATGGCTATTATTATTATTGAAGTGGAGTCACAAAGTCTCCCTGAGACATCACATGTATCATCCCAACAATTGCCACTACTTAAGCTAACAAAACATCTTTCTATCTAATTTGACACAGTTATTAATTTAAAAAACGTCAAATAAAACAGCCAGATTGCAGTTACCCAGTACAAGGAAGAATCCCTGCTAAATCTGATGACGCAGACACTTTAATCCACCAAACAATCAAACACAGTATCAGCTTTTCTTTACTGTCATTTTCCCATCATTAGCACTTCAAATATACACCAACAAAAACAAGACTTTCTTTGTCGTTTTGAAATAAGCTTGCTTGTCATGGGGGAGCTTAGATCATTCATTCTTCACATTTTACCAGCTGGAAAAGTTTTAACTGGAAAAACCGTTTTATAAGGCTTTAATAAAAATAAAAATAAAATATGTGTTCTTAATGTGAAGAGGAAATGTGGGGAGTCATGTGTTAAAACCTGACAAGAAAACGTGGGACATGTGGGCAGAGAGTAGTTATATCAAGAGGGGATAAGGGGAGAGGTGGATGGTGACAAGAGACAATACAAAGAAGTGAAATACAGAAAGGTTGAGAGAAGATAGAAGGAGATGTCCATGTCAGAACCTGTGCAGCCATCTATTCCTGGTGCAACTAAGACAAGTTCAAAGAAAAGATGAAACCGTGTCAGGTTACAAGACAGATACCTGTCCACACTCAGAGTTTAACTGCGACCTTGCCACCGTCACTAGAGGACAACTTTAACATTTAACCGAGACTCAATAATCCACCACTCAACCGACCACGAAACCAAAGGTACTAACACAGGAGATCAATCTTCCTGCAAATATTTGTTGTCATGTTAAGTCTCGTAACGGTACACTAGCAGTCTGTTCTGGGTGTGCGCTGAAAAGTCTGGTATTCATACAAAGGCCTGGTTCTTTCAATGGGACACAAAATGGCCAAGACCGAGGCAAACAGCCAATCAGCAACTTGTGTAAAGGACTGGAGAAAGGCCATAGATCTCGAGGAGTCTGTTTCTTTGGGTGTTGAGTTTTTAAATCTTTACCATATAACTTATTAATCCAAACTCTCGTTCAAGTGAAAAAATGATTGATATAAATAAATAGCTTCATAAAACCAGAGGTCAAAACGTACAGACACACACACCGTTTAAAAAACATACAGTATGTTGTACAGGCAGTGAGAATAAAATGAAGACCCCCACTCAAGCATCACAGCCCTGCTTCAAATATTCAAAACTGCCCTGTGAGACAGTGACTTAATGAGTGTCACTGTGATTAGTATCTCCTCTTTCTTCCTGCTCTTTGCTGGGGGAAATGACTCATGTGTCTCTAGGGGCAGGGGTTCAGTTTCAGCGGATTAAACAAAGCATGACCTCAAAAGAAGTGACAAAAGAGAAACAGAACAAAGCCATTAGCGGACTGAGACTGATCATCAAACTGCTCCCCCGGGAGAGAGACGCATAACTGAAGCTAAAAAGTTATTATGTTGCCACAGTTACCAAGATAAAACAATGAAATCAAGACACATGGCTTTTCTTCTTACAGTTGCATGATCTCAGACTTCTCTTGCAGAGAACAGAAACAATGAATGCTTGTTGAACTAAATCACCAATCTATAAAAGCCCCACAGCTGCTGTTATATCATAAAACGGAGACAAAACGTTAGTACTGTACTACGTGAGCACGCAAGTACAATCTTAGTAGTAAGTACATTAAATCCACCTAATTACATAAAATCACTATAATGTCATTTTGATTAGAAGTGGAGAGACACTGACCCTGCAGCAGAATCTGGACGTTGTCGATGTCCAGGGGGATGAACCCCCTCTCCACCAGCTCATCTCTGGAGTAGAAGTCTGACGACATACTTTATCATCCACAGCCTCCCGGCAGCATGGCACCACTCTGAAGGAAAAAGTGGAATAAGTCAGAGTTAGTGCAGTCCAGTGTAGCTTAAAAAGTGAAGCATCATCGTATCTCTCACTTTATGTTTGAAGGCTTGGGCTCGAAATAAATAATGACTGATTGTATCATTATGGAATTGTTGCCATAATTACAATCGAAGGCTTTGAAAATATGTTCACACATCTGGAATTTAAAAAACCTGGACTATGGATGCATATCTTAAGAGCTGAATTCAAACAACACTTTCAGATGTATTCAGATGAATAGTATGCAGATAATCAGATTCTGATGTATAATAATGACCTCTGTAGTATTAGACATTACATTACATTACATTACATTTAATTTAGCTCCAAAGCGACTTACAATTACCAATTACAGGGACATTCTCCCTGGAGTAACTAAGGACTAAGTGCCTTACTCAAGGGCACACTAGAGGTGGTGTTCCTGGCGGGATTTGAGCCCACCTCACTATCCATTAGACCACCACTATCCCTAGACATATTTACTTGGATGAAAACAGGCCAAAGACCACTGTATGTACTTTTTTGTTTAGCATAAATACAATTTATGGAGCAATGGCACACTGTCAGTTTGCATTGAGTGTGGATTTAAGGGTGCTGTGTGTTGCGCTGTGTTTTGTCTTGTTCTGTCCTGCCTTGGGATATGAATAAAAGTACTGAGAAATATGTGACATTTAGACATCCTTCCAAATACGCCTGCCTTAAGAAATCACACTTTGGAAACATAACAGGTGCCTTTGCTTTGACCAGAACATTTTCCTGCTGATCAAAAACATGACTGACAGTTAGCAGAACAGACAGGTGAGCGCGGCTAAAATAAAACAGCGTGATGTGGCACAACGCCTCACTTTGCACAGCAAATGTCAGATCAGGTCAGATAGAAGCGTGGTTTTGTTTGAACCTGCCTGTACTGCCAGAGGGGTTGGACCTCATTTAAATGGACAAATGTAACAGTATGTTTCATCAACTTCCTGAAGCTTTACTCCCTGTGGCACTAAACAAGTCAAAATATGTACATCCAAGTACATAACTCCTAGCTAGAGGCTGACAAGTATGAGGACATTAAAGGTCAAAGCTATATGGTTTTCAACAAGCTTAAAAGAAAAAGGTTTCTAAATCAATCAAAACAAGTGGAGCAGGACAAGATGTGTCTACATTAGCTATAAATCTAAGTACAGTAGCATTATGATCAGTATCCAGATTCTGAACTGCATTAAAGTACATGATGGGAAGTGATGAGATATGTTAATGCATTCAGCAGTGAAAACATTTTGAAAAATCTTCTGTGACCCAATAATGGCTCAGCTATATGGGTGAAATCATTATCACTTTATATTTCTTGATACCAATGTATATACCTCGCGGCAAAATAACTAATGCCAAGTCATTCCTACTCTTGGGCACTGAAGTTTCTTCAAGTTATTGTCCCAAGAGTTTATAAACATAAGTTGGAGATTTCTAATGAACATACAGTGCAGTTCTTTCGGGATATAAGAGAAGTCATTACATAAACAAGGCCAAACAAGCATCCTATACATTATTCTATGTGTAGTGGGATACAAATATGTAACACTGTCACCTCGTCACCACTTAACTCCCCTTTAAAGCATTATTAGATTTCTGAAAGAGCTCTCTGTCTGAATTATAAGAGATCCAATTACCCACAAAATAATGGAATGATCTGATTAGCCCACTGGTCACAATGCACTAAAACAAAGCCAAGAAGTATTTCCAAACACTGTTAGTCCAAGTCTGCTCCTAAACATCTATATAAGAGAGCTGCAACAATTAACAAGTGGAAGAAATAGACCACTGCCCTCTAACATTAAAGCGTGAACATGAACACACAAGGACATAAAGCTACACTGAGAGCGCGTACGTGTGGGTTAAACCACTATAGCACGGTATTTGAGCTATCCGAAGGCTTCATGTCAGCTGCAGATGGAGGGACCGAGGGGGGAGGTGAGATGAGAGTCAGTGGATAGGGGTGAGAGAAGAGAGGGAGGGAGGTTAGAAGATGGAAGTCCAAGTAAGACTCCAAGAGATTATCTAATGGGAATCTGTCATCATGGGACTCGAACACAGATATCACCCAAAGTAAAAGGACTTATAATAAAATAATATATGTAATAGAATTAAACCTTATATGGTTGTTACACGGTACACTGATATATGTCAATATTCGTAGGGAAAGGCAAGAAAAGTTACAAATTGTTGTCAAATGTATAAGCAGCATCTCGGACTACCTACAGTATGGACTTAGATATTGTATATCTTGCAATAGAGTGGGGCAGTGGCGCGTCCTAAAACCCGGAAGTAAGCTGCGTATGGGTTCCCTCGACAAAAAAGCAATGCAATTTCTCCATAGGATTTGGGAAATTGCTCGAAATAAGGTCTGTGGTTGACACACATTTAAGAGACGGATCACGTTTTGTTCAGTCAGATAATATCCACATGTCTACCCTACTTTTATAATTTTCTAATCATAAATCTAGTCGCCAGAAGCAAAATGCTAACGTTATGCTATAAACGAACTACAACAGGGTCGCTGCTTCAACGTCACGCCAACTTAAGATCGATATTCAAACATACAGATTCAAA